GTTTCTTTATACATTTATTATTTTCCTTCTAATTTAGGAATGACTTTTTACGCTTACCTTGCGAAGCGTGCTTATAAATATGTGCCAATCTCAACATTTTCTGCTTACTCATATTAATAATTGCTTACCGTTGTTCAACCAAGACAGATTTAGGCATTTTTATTAATTGTGACATCAAGCGTTCAATATGCATATACGAGCACTATTTAACATGAAAAAAATACATCTTACAAAATATACATATTTTTTATATTTATACCAGTAATTATTCGTGGTTCTATTTCGTCACTGTAATTGTTCTTTCGAATTGATCAAAATTAGCCATATTATTATCGATTGCTCTGAAGGATTGGCTTTATAATGAGACATACATGCCATAAAGCCACTACCGAGAAAAAAATGAGCTCGTAAATGTATTTGTCAGACCATTTACTCGCATATTCTTCGAACAGTTGAGCAGTTATAATTACAATTAGCAGCCTATATCTTTCGAATTTTTATTAGATAACAAGAATTAATTGTTACATTAGTTTTATCCTGATAGCATTAAAATAGAGATGAAAGTATTTCAGATCGTAAAGATTAAGGTGATAATAAAAATCGCTTAGAATGGATTAACAATCCTTAAGTAATAATTTTTTTGCGAACAAATCTAGCGTCAAAAATTGTAAAAACATTTTTGATGCGATGAGAATTCAGGTCAATTTCAGGTTTTGCGTTACAATATTTTTACAGCCTAGCACATATGTAGGACAAAAACAAAGACATTCTTCTTATACAATAGCGCGTCGAGTTCACTATGAATTTAATCGGTCTAGCTTGCAATATGATAAACGTGCCTCTCAACTACATACATAGTTGTCTCATGCACATACGCACGGTCAGTCTCGCCGTTCCTGCATCACTTATGTGCCTTCACTCGGCACCGAGCCACAATCATATCTCTTGATTTAGTCTCAATAAATAATTGTATTGATGATAAAGCGGAAATTCAGTGGTCTTTTACGATAATTTAATCATCAGTTTGCATAATTCACAACGGCAATGACTTTATTGTACCCTAATTGATAACAAAATTGCTGTGTCTACACACTTTAGCTTTAACGTTGTCACAATACTCTTCGCTGTATTGAAATATCGACACAAAGTATTTAATTACGATGTGGTAATGTCGTTCCACACATAGCTCTCTTCAGGATAGGCATTCTGTCAATAGGAATTTTTAATCGATTCCACGTATCGTGCTATTAATGGTGTCTAATAATTTCATTGCGGAAAGTACGCGATGCACGTTGGATGCACAACGCTGCACCACACCGTGCCGATGCAGCGGTGTGTACAGCTGACTATTGCACCGTCTGGTACGAGCAGCGCTGCTAAAAGAGCATCCGCCTCTCACGCAAGTGCGAAGGTGAACGCCGCACCGCGTGCCGATATCACAGGACGAGCATTGCCACACACACATACCTGTTACGTTATTTAATAATATATGATATCATTGCTGAAGCCTGTTACATGACTTCAAACATAACAAGACAAGTGAAATTAATGTTTCTCTCCCCGATTATCAGTAAATAATCATTAAAATGTTCATTTGTAATTTTATGTTCTTATCTATATAATAATTTATTTATATTTTTTTTTAAACACAACCATCATATTATCAATCTATAAATATTAATTTGTATTTAATTAGAATGGTAATCATATAAATAATGCATAGTCTGAAACAATTATTTATCGAATTGAATAAGCATTTATTACAAAATTATTTATCAGAGCATTTACCTCTTAGAAACTCAATGAAACAATGATGTAGTGATGCAATTTAAGTTTGAGCAGATTAGTTTTGGAGAAAATTGAAAAATTCTTAACATATTTGTATCTTTTCAAGCTTGAATATTTTAATCTTGTCATATTATATTGTCTCAATAATTATTGATACACAAATAAAAGAATATAAAACTTCTTTTAATAAAGCAATTATAATAATTTATGATACGTAAGAAAAGTTGTATAAAACGTTTATTCAAGATTTATTTTTATTTTTCCGATAAAAAATATTGGGTTTTTATATATTTTTGGATAGTTGCTTTTATATGTACATAAAATGCTTTAGAATAGCATCTATTTCTTTTCTATATAAGGAAAGTTAAATTTTAATGAGCTTATAATATTTTATATTTTTCTTAGAATTTCGTGAAAATTCAAATATCACTTTGTTATCGAAAGAATAAGTTTAAATTTTTGAGGAGAAACCTGTTTCAGAAGTGTACAATATTCCTTATAATTTAACGCACCGCTTTACTTTACTTTTCTCCAATCTACAACGACGCAAACAATTTCTAAATGAATGTCGCAACGAAGAGTGAGATAAATCAAGAAACATGATCTCCACAATTAATTCTTCATTTACAAAGAGCTTGGGGAAATGGCAATGAAATTCCTTTGTGCTTCATCCCGTGTCGGATCCAACAATTTACGAATATTATTTGTGTGCGATATAAAAATTTTTGCGCAAAAATCTTGAGCACGAGTACATCACGAGTGTATCATTGTCCGTCTTTGATATTTGCATTCCTACCCCGCAATGCACATTCCCTCCTGACTGCTGTCGGCGCTCTGCTCGTACCAGGCCGCGCAGCCTGGCACGAACGCTGCACTTCCAAGCCGGAGCCACTTCCTCTCCTCTGCTCTCCTCTCTAGTGCCATCAGCGTCTCTCTTCTACTCTCATTGTCTCCCTCTTCCCTAATCGACAACCGCTTCTCTCTCCGCGCGTAGCTCCTCTCTTTCTCCCCTCCCTCCCCCTGCATCCCCCTCTCTTCCCACCTTCCCCCCCTCTCTCTCTCTCTCTCTCACTATTTCCTTCTTTTTCCGTCTCTTTCTATCGTTTCTTCTCTTGTGACGGTGAGACACTTACATACACAGATCTTGGCTTACTTATACACCTCCGCTTTTAACTCCTTCGTGCTCTCCTCACTTTCCTTCGCAGATCTAACAATTTATGGTTTGTTTTTCGACGAATGTCGCAGTAGAATAATGTATATGATTTTTAAAATTAGTTTTGTTTTTATCTAAAATGTTTCGGGAGTGATAGTGCGTCTTTTTCACTTTTCCTCCATTAGATTTATCGATATCTACGATTTTTTTTTGAACAAATGTCATAGTAGAGTAATAAATTAGCTTATTTCGGGGAATTTTTAAAGCACACACATTTGTATTTATAAATATTTGGCATATGAAAAATCGTATTTTATTCTGGACGGAAAAATTTCGTCGAAAGACACATTGAGTATTTTCCACTTATATGGAATTTTATGTATTGTATTTTTATCGGAGCGTAGCGTGACTAATTGTTTAAACATTAATCTCGATGCTGTACAGCGATAGCAGGATCGTTTTCTCGTCCAAGGACAAAATCAAGAATCCTCTCGCGATGGGAAAGTCTCCGTAAACGAGTCTCGATTGCCATTGCGGTATGATAAGTCCTTTTAAGAGAGAGAGATCATCTTTCCTTTCAAAACGTGGAAACATGAATGCTGAGATATAGTCGCTGAAACAGAGTTGCTCAGTTCATTAGTGCACTCAAATAGAAACTTGAGAATTCTTCTTTATTCAAAACGTCAATGAATGAAGCTCGGACAGTATCTATGTTTTTCAGAAGATACAAAGCATCGTAACTCTTTTAGCTTTAAATAGTTCTTATTGTAAAGGCTCATTTATTTATTGTTCTTATGATTATTAGATAATTCAAATGCACCGAATGCCATCAAGCTGCGCGACGATGGTATTCGAATGTCAGCAGAATGCGTTTGTGTAATGATACTGAAATATTCCGCTTGCAAATGATGTTTTCTCCATTTGCCGATGAACAAAAGTCACCTGCAAACAAAAGCCGACATACGAGCTTCTTATCGTTTGCCTTTTCTTATCTCATCTTGAGTGGATGCTGCGCAGTAAACGATCTGAAAATATCTTCATACAATGTTCAAAACTATTATTTATTTTTCATCGAATAAAGTTTTAATTTAAAAAATTTTATTATTGAAACATTCAATATTAATAGCTCAACTAAATATTAATGTAAATTCTAATCAAATTAAATTTATTTGAAATGATTTGAGTTATACAAAGATGTAGATTGTACTATTTATTTCTATCGCACACTGACAAAGTTATTCACTGTTCATAATTTCTTTCAAGAATGATTGCCAAATTAAATTAAATATTTCATTTTGAGGGGAACTTGACTTCAAATTACGGAAATAATTCATAACTACAGTTTACAAAATTTCACTCTCTCTCTTACAGCTGCATATTTGCTCAATTATGTCATAATGAAGAGTAATTTGCCGCAATCACGGAAACGGATGTACCTCCCTTGTCTTAATTTCTACCCACAAATTGGGTGTCGCGTCAGAACATTTCGTTTTTACCGTCCAGTCACTTGAAAGCAAAGAAAAGGAGAGAGAGGGGAAAACTCTTATCTTGCAATCGGAGCAACTGCCAATTACCGTTCTATACATTCCAATAATTTTTACTCATTTTCATCGCGATGTCGATCTTTCTATTATTATCCTTATCAATAAATAATATTAAAGCGAATAATCAATGTAATTGACATATTAATTGTTTCGATAGTTAATTCTGCGCACTCTATATTTAACATCATATAAAAAAATCCAAAGTTTTAATGATCGTTAACTTGAACAGCAATCCGAAAGTCCTAAAATTATCGATTTAATTTTTTCTTCTGCTGTATAACTTCGTTCAGTTGCACTCTCATTATTTCGAATTGCGACCGATAGAAGTGACGAAATGATTGCTACACGAAAGTTCACCGGGTGAAGATTCGCTCAGATCCAGAAGAATTCTGCCTTCTACATAGTTACACATAGAAACGGCAGTTCCCCGACGGCAGGCATTGAACCTTTCACCTATCACGGCAGTAATATCGCTTCCCGGCCTATCCCTTCATGCTCTATGCTTTCTGTTACAGGCGATGGCTGCGGGAATAACATGTTCAGGTGCAACGACGGCAAATGCATACAGTTGATTCTCGTATGCGATTATCGTGGGGACTGCGACGACAATAGCGATGAGATGCAGTCGTGTCGTAAGTATCAGCATTCTCCTCTTGCCTTTTAACCCGAAAATAACCAAGTCTTTCTCCCAAATTACTTTATCTCATCACACCTCCCAATGGTTCTAGCGTTAATTAGATGTTCGATATAATACATTTAACAAATCGTTCTTGCGATACAAAGATTGCTAATTTTGATTAAAGACACTTGAATCAAGAAATGCTAAAAATGCACAAAAATAGATTCAAAAATTGCTTATACGATTTTCATATAGTCTTATTGGGAATTCTTTCTTTAGAAAATATACTTGATATTCACTCTCAATTTGCATAAATATATAAAGATATTCATAAATATATAGAGTTGGACACTACTATAATTACGTGGAAATTGGAGCATATCTTTGAACGTCAAATTTAATCGCGAAGACTCCTCTGCTGTGCTGATGAATAATTAATGATGAAGTGCTTCGTTAAGTAATAATAAAGAGGGATGCATATACATATAATCCGTGACTGCCCGTTGCCCTCATTATAGCTCATGGTGAAAGAACTTTCAGAATGAAACCATCACCTTCATTCAGTATCTCTTGGCCGTCAGGTACGGATTTAAAGCTGTAAAGGCCTTAGACACGATCAAATGTTTTACTTTATATTAATGAATCCAAATAGAATAAATGTTTTCTATAAATCTTCGAAGAAATATGTTAGAAAAATTCAAATAACGTTAACTTGCAATATATTACCATTTTTGTGACATTCTTTGCGTCATCTAGAAATGCAGATTTTATCGGGATTTATTGGATTATTAATTTACAAAAAAATTTAATCGTTTTGTAAAGAAACAAGTATTGATAAGAAAAGAATAAATATGCATAGCTTCACGCACGAGCTTGCACGTACGTGTTCGTATGTGTATAAATATAGAGATACTTATATGAATTTTTTAAGAGTAAAATTAATTGTATATAAAAAATATGCGCACAAATCGATTGCTATAATGCCGTTGAATAATTTTGATACTTTTCTTTAGAATAGCAAGAAAGGTAAAAAATAAATTTGAAATTTTAACTTTACACAAATTTACAGAAATAAAATAATTCTGATATTTTATCGCAAATTTTGTAGTTAAATTATAGATTTGTTTGAAGTATGTTATGTGATTGTGATTTTTGTCGGACAATTTTTTATCTTCCTGTTTTTCTTCTTCCTGTTTTCAATTCAATCTAAAAAAGTGGAGTGGATCAACTCGAGGTATAGCTTAAAACAAATCTCGCGTGCCGGAAGTGTTCGACGAAAATCCGAGGCTTCCTCTCGGAAGTGCTTAGTCTCTTTGTTTGACGATTTTTCCATGTAGTTACGTGACAGCTTTTGTGATTACTCCTTATCGTTAGATTTATATTACAGGAAACATAGTGCAATTCGTGCATTATTTTTTCATAAACAAGAATAATCAATATTATTTTAAAAACCTTGTATATAGAAAGAAATATTTATTTTATTTTAATGAAATATGTGAAGGAAGAAATTTTATATTAATTAAAAACGACAAAAATGCCGATGCTTTGGAAATAGCTTTTGAAAAAGTACAAAAATAAAGTGAGAGAGAAGTAAAAGTGCAACTATTACATTAAAAAGATATTAGAGTTTTTTTGTTGTACAATGTGTGTAACATAAATATGAAATTCCAGCTTTTTAATATATCATCAAAAATAGATTACAATTTTCTGAATATACTTGTCCTCAGAATTTTTGTTATAAATAAAGGAAGTTTGTCATATCTGAATCAGATTTTGCAGAACAATATTAGTTATTTGAAATAATTAGAATTACTTTGAACACAACATTTCTTTTATTTCTCTTCAAGGTTTGCCATTTTCTTGCTAGGCCACCGCAAAGCAACGGGCGTTTGTTATGCGGGTGACAATGCAAAACCGGAAGTAAGGCTGTGACCTTCTTTCGAGGACAGCGTGCAGAAGTGCCGCGTGTCACTCGATGAAACGGACCCACTGGCACGATTATATCTCATTTTGCATGGAATCGATTCCACGCTCGACAATTTCTTTTGTATCTAATTCATCTTTACGTATTATGCAATTTCTTATCTTTAATCACAATTTACGGAATTTTAATAATACAATCTTGTTTCAAAACAGTTGATTCTAGCATACCAAAGTAGACTTACAGAGGCGATTTATAAATAAGAAAAAATATTTTTTGCAATTTTTCTTAAAATATTATATCTTTGGAATGTATAGTTAAAATTTATCGAAAGGATCGAAGATAAAATCGAAGGATTAACAATTACGGTTTCAAAGCTGAACAAATAAAAAATTAAAGCGTCGCGCAAACTTCGAAAAACGAAGTTCCTAATTTCGCCATGAATAATTATAGAAATAAAATGATCGTGGGAAGAGAATCCTTAAAAATTGCCAGCCTTACGTACTATTTGGAAAAGATAGAGTTACTCTCGGGGTGATACCCTGATACGTGGCGGCGTGATTGTCAGGTCATCCGGTACGGGAGGCTCCCTCAATCGCTCGGCAAATCGACGACCGGCTGATTATGTTCGCGCAATTATAGCATCGGTGCAATCTGCGCTCTCCCGTTGCGCGAACGATTCTACATGTGTTGCGCAGCTTGCTGGAATCTTCAACAGTTTACGTAGCACAATGCTCGCGAATTTCTTTTTACACCAGCTTCTTCTTGCCTATGAATAAAAGAATATTTAATAATTATTCAAAGAGAGATTTTTTTCTTTTGTCATGTCTCCATCTTGAATGTGCCAACAAAAGAAAGAAAAAACGAAATAAGAGTCAAGAGTCAAGTCTTCAACGGACTGTCCAGTTAATGTAACGCAATTGTGCAGAAGTTAAATCATGCTTGTGCAATTTCAGATCTTCGTCGTTTGTTTCAACAACTCGGTAAAATATAAAATATAATAGTAAAATAAAAAAATTTTTATTCTGAAAAAAGATGTGTGTGTGGGTTTTATTATGATACAATTTAATAAAATATTTATGTCGAGCATAGCTTGAATCGTAAGAGTTAAACGTTTTTATTCTGATCGAATAAAGAATTAACAAAGTATTATCCTATCTCGTCGTTATTGATAATAAAATAGAAATTGATTGAATTTTTTTATTGGGTTTCAGCGCCGCCCGATTGCGAGATCGGTCAAATCACCTGTGGTCAGTACAGTTTCAACAAAACATATTGCATACCTCCACACCAACGATGTGATATGACCGTCGATTGCGTCGACGGCACTGATGAAGACGGCTGTAGTGAGTACAAATTACAATTATTTTTGTCATTAATTTTTTTCATTTATTCTTATCACCTTATTACGTGAGTTGTGTAACAAAAGTTTTCCGGAAAATTAGACTGTAAAAACTTTTATGAGCAAATGTAATAGTCTATGCCTTTTTTACAAAAAGATTTAAAAGCGTAAACAAAGCACTGACAATATTTATACTTTTTATTTATTTTTCTTCAGAATTTATCAGTTTTCTAAAAGTCCCGAGTTATGTATTATTTATTCGCTTAGTTAAATACGCCTGTATTAACTGGAAATTCGCTTTTTTAATTTCTTGTTGTCTAAAATGTACGTAAAATTTGTTGTAATCTGCGTACACAATTAATTGTTTTTAATAATTTTGTAGATATGATATGAGAATATCCAGTTGCTGTTGCTCAATGCTATTATCAATTAATGACTTGACGAATATTAATTGTATCGTTTAGAACTCTTAGAAGCATTATGAATAATTGCAGTTATGCCGTGCCGAAAGATGTGATAAAATATCGATAAAGTATCGTCAGTGATAAAACCGCATGCGTAAATGCATAGCTAATTAACAATTACGCCAAAATATTCTTCACGTTGGACTGAATTATCATGTTATTACGATAATTCGTAATATTCCACACAGTAAATCAGTAATGTTACGTTTGTGCTGAAGTTATAAAAATAAAGACTAACATTTATAAATATTTTGCCGATGCTGAGAACATTTCCTTCAATTTTCGATGTCAAAACTTTTTTTATTGTTTAGAGATATCAATTTTTTAAGTTATTATAATATTTTATTTTTAAATTTGTCGAATATTCTCAAATATTTCCAACAATTAGGAATTATCAAAATTGCAATTTACATTTACAGAAAAATGCATTTTACTATAATCATAATTTTCATTTTTTATATTCTTTAGTTAATTAAAAGATAATATTTTGAAAGGGTAAAAATAATATTTTATCTCAAAATATTCAAGAATTAATTTGACTGGACGTGACTTTGAAATTTTCTAAAGCTACTTCTTCTTCTTAATTTAATTGTTTCCCTTATCTTGCATGAGCCAACTGAGAAAAAGTCACGTTTCAGATTGCCATATCGTGCTCATTCTTCGTGTTTATCAGCTACACGAACGTGTTGCAACAAGTGATCTTCAAGATACGGTTGTACATTATGTGCAGCTAATGCGAGTTATCACGCGACACCATTTGCACCCAGAAGCGTGATCATTTTTAAATTATCTTTGGCATTCGTTATGTAAAAGTGACACGTGCTACTCTATTTGTCACGTGCATTGTTGAAGATACTTTTATCAGTAATATTGCAAAAGGCATACTACAATACATATATTTAACGCTTTAATTCTTTACAGATTCTACAATGTTCACAATACAGCATAATTATTTTTAATCGCTAAATATCTTCAAAAATAAATATAATTTTATACAGAAAATTAATCAAAATTAATATAATATTAATTCAAGTATTAAGCAGTCTTTGCATTGCTTACGTGCGTATGTTTTTTATTACATAATAAAGTTCAGAAGAAGAAATGACAAAAACTCGGCGTCTGTTGTAGCGTACAGAAAGTGCCAGCCGGACGACTTCAGATGCGTCGGAACCACACCAGAACTTTGCATACCCAAAGAGAAGAAGTGCGACGGTTACCTAGACTGCCGGAACGGCAGGGATGAGGAGAGATGCGAAAATAATCTAAAGCCGGCCTGTCGATTGGACCAATTCAGATGCAACACTACGCAACGCTGCATCGAGCAGAGTGCGAGATGCAATCACAGGGATGATTGTGGTGACAATAGCGACGAGGAACATTGCAGTGAGTTTGTGGTTTTTTTTACAGTACATTTGTTTAATGTTTTGTGATTTATTTCTTTTACAATTTTTGACAATGGAACTGTCAAAAAGCAAAAAGGACATTTTCCATTGATTTGAGAATTGAAGAAGTCTCTACTTTTTAACTTTCTCTAATATTTTCATCCTTGTTTTAAGTGGATAAAGTTTACATAAATGCATGATTTTATTTTTTTTATTTCTGTTAATTTTTTCTATTTGAATTTTGTTAAATTATCGAGAAATATCTTTTAACATACATAAATTACGGATTTATAACAAAATTAAAACTGTAGCATGCGAGAAATTTCTTAATTTATTTTTTCTATTAAATTGTACATTTTAATTTATGTTAAACTAATCGCACAAGTAACGCTATTAAGAGACTTCGATGATGTACAGATTTTCCGCCTTGCACCAGCGACCAGTTCCGATGCGCCAATGCGCTCTGCATTCCTATAGCATATCACTGCGATGGTTATAAAGATTGTCAGGATGGTTCCGACGAGAAGGCCTGCACGATGACAGTTTGTCCGGGGAACAAATTTATGTGTCCAAAGGGTGCGCCAGATGGGAAGCCATTGTGCATCAATCGATCTCAGCTGTGCGATGAAAAGCAGGATTGCGAGGATGGGGCGGATGAGGAAGCGGCATGTTGTAAGTGTGTTTGTATCTTTTGCCAATATCAAACCTGAAGGGTTAATTTGCATTGAATAATATTATTAATACAATACATTATGTAAAAAAAATATCAAACTTTTTTATCGTGTTAGCAACGAGTATGTGCGGCTCGCTTGGCTGTCAACACAAGTGTCAAGCGTCGCCCACCGGAGGAGCTTGTTATTGTCCTGAGGGAAGAATCCTTGCGAACGATTCGCGAACTTGCATCGGTGAGCTTAATCTCTATATATCTAAACTTTTAGTATATTAACTATGGACGTAACGTCCTTTAGGATGTGTTCGAACTGGTGAGAAATTGTGAGAACCAATTTATTAGAAAATATATAATTTACTTTCTTTGTCAGAGAAGTATGTACAAGTTATTATGCTATATTGTGTTTGAGCGTTTATTGCGCCAAAGGCGCTTTCTCGGCAAATGTGTAAGGCCGAGAAGTTAGAACAAAAATTGACGGGCGCGGTAAGACATTACCGGCCGCGTCTGCGTGATTTGAATTGGGTCCTAAAAAGGACGATTCTTGCGAGGGTGCACGTTGCATCCCTTTCCCATATGCCGGAAGTATTCCGTGCGGGAAGTGATCCTCTGCATGGTAGTTGCTCTGTGAGCAAGCCCTAGGCGGCGAGGTTTGCGTTGCGATGGAGTATGTCTCCGGTGTGCCATGCGCTGCGACCGTCCGGCTCTCTGTGGCGCAGTTCGTTCTGCGGGCCGAGGAGAGAGAGGCCTTCGCATTCGGATGTCCCCTGGTACGTGAGTGTCCCGTGGGAGCCGAGTCAACCGGGCACAGAACTCTAGGGGAATTAATTTCCACTGTAGAGTCCGTGGTGGCGACGGCGATGCTGGTGCGTCAGCTGACCGTAGATGCACATCCCTCCGTGAGGTGTGCGGTCGGAGCTGGGACTGAGTCTTTCGCTTCCGTGCCTTCCCAGGCACTGTGAAAAGTCGAGAAGACTTGTAGCGAACTAATCGCTGGTTGCGCTCTTCGAAGCAGAGCTGTGACTCCGTTCAAGGGCCCTTTATTAAGAGCTCGCCTTGAAGCGATTGAGTGAAGAAAAGCTTGCGTCGACGCTCTTTTATACAGCGTCGATCGATTCTCGATCGCGAGAGGGCCTTACACCGCCTGCGCAACCTGGTGGTGTATCTGTAGGCTCAGAACTTGGTTGAGGCCCTGCGGCGCGTAGCGGCGCCGCGGCGTACTATGCCGCTTCAGTGCAGCGGTGTGGCGGTATGCCGCCACATTAACAATTGCTGATTTCTGAGTAAAACAATATTGTTCGTGTAGAAGCCTAAGTGCGGTAGCGCTTCTCTTCTGGACGGACTGAACTAAATCAATCCCGCTTTTAATAAAACTGTAGCAATAGCCTAAATACGGTAGCGCTACTCTACTGTAGTGAGTGCGAGAATAAATAAAGACTAAGGACTCAAACTTTATAGAATATACAACTTTAATCTTTCGTAGTGTCAGGATCTTTTTCTCGACTGCTCGACTTCGTCGGGATCCCGATTTATATACCTTTACATCAAAGATGCCGCTAAATCTTATTATAATAACTATTCGCCGCTAGCTAACAATCGTATCCACCGATAGTTTACAATAATATAATTCTTTATAATATGCCGATGACGAAATGACTCGCTCGACAGTCGCATTTCCTTTCGAGGAATAGTAATCGCAGGTCTAAGGTTTCACTAGGTCGGTAGACACTAGGCCAGCGTATGATATTTCACCGCATGATCAAAGCCGCCGCATAATAAAAGCGCTAATTCTAAGAAGACAATTATAAATCAAGTATAATACTACATTCGAAAGTTTGTTTATTAGCTGAATCTGTTTGTAAATTTCTCCCAATCGTCTAATAGAATCTGTTCTTGCGTAGATCGAGACGAGTGTTCCGAGTGGGGCTTCTGCGAGCAGTTGTGCGAGAACATCGACGGCTCGTACATTTGTCACTGCGCGCCCGGTTACACTCTTCACGGGCGAAACAAGTGCCGCGCCCAGAACATTTCGTCGTTGGAGCTTCTGCTTGCGCAGGATCGCGCGGTGTGGCGGTTGAGCGCGATCGGCGAAGATCGCAGGATAATCGCGAACACCACCGGCGCTAGCGGGATAGATTATCTGTACTCGCGGAATTTGCTCTTTTGGAGTGACATGAAGACGCGGAAGGTGCACTCGCAGTCTCTCAACTCGCTCACCACCGACGCGCTGCCCAAGGTGGACATCAGCATGGCAGGCTCCTGGGGACCAGTGTCGATCGCCGTGGATTGGGTCGGCGATAAGCTCTACGTGGCCGACTCCATCGTGCAGAAGGTGGACGTATTCGAGTTGGACGGCCGTTATCACGGAATAGTCGTCGGCTCCAATCTCACCAGCCCAGCCGACATCGCGCTGGACCCTACGAGGGGCTTGCTGTTCATCGCCGACAGCAAGCAGGTACTTCGTGCCAACATGGACGGCACTAACGCGTTCCCCGTGGTTTCCGAAGCGGCATACAAGGTCTCCGGCGTGGCTGTGGATATCATTGCCAAAAGGATCTACTGGTGTGACTCTCTGTTAGATTACATCGAGACGGCGGATTATAAAGGTCACCACAGAATTATGATTCTTAGAGGTTCTCAAGTGCCATCCCCAATCAGACTTACCCTCTTCGAGAATAGGATATATTGGACGGACGGCACCAAGCAAGCCGTCATGAGCGTCGATAAAACTCAGGGAGATTATTCCATCCAAAGCGTATTCAAGGTACGAATAATTAATCTTTTGCACTATAAATGCAATATTTTCTCTCGATGATAAAGTATAAAGTTTGTTATCTCGAAAAATTGAATTTTATTATAACATATTAAAATATATTATTAGATTTTATATCTTGTATAATTTAACTATGCTCGGATGTCGAACATAATATGAATAAAATAAAATATTACTCAATTTTCGAAAGATTAAACACTTCAATGAGTTTGTTTAGAATACACTTAAAAATAAAAGTGAAAGTCGTTTTAATTAACTTCAACTGCCATTTGACCAATTGACTTTCTCCTCAATTAAGTGCTGACAATCAAAGATACTACATTCAGTGTTATTCGAGTTAATAACTATTTTCATTTGTTTGTACTTGTTAAAAAAAAATAGATAAACACATAAAAAAATTTGCATTTAGGCTCACATTGTGAGATATTTTATGATATAAATAATTCTTCTTTAAGGTACGCGACGCCAAAGCTATAAAAGCCTTGCATCCACTCTCGCAGCTTGCCGTTTCTAATCCTTGCGGTAATAATAATGGCGGTTGTCAGCACATGTGCATTGTTACTGCCTCCAGCGATCAGATTAATCGATTGGGTTATCGCTGCGCTTGCCATATCGGATGGCGGCTGGCGAGCGACATGAGGAACTGCAACCTGGTGCGGGAGTTTCTTATGTATTCCCAGCAGAGGTTTATTAAAGGCCGCGTACTCAATCCTGTAATGGAAGGCTTTAGCGACGCTATCCTGCCGGTGGTATCGAGACGGGCGCGCTTCGTTGGATTGGACTATGACGCACACGATCAGTATATCTATTACAGCGACGTTCTTCAGGATGTCATATACAGGGTACACCAAAACGCGACCGGACGGGAGATTGTGTTAGCTAGCCAGAATGAAGGAGTGGAAGGACTGGCAGTCGATTGGGCTGCGAAGAACTTGTACTACATTGATTCACGTAAAGGTTTGTTGACGGAGGAATCTCATCGGTTCCGTGAGATACTAATTCTATTAATTTGTAATATAAAAGACCTAAAGCAGAAAATTTAGAGCCTCATCTATTGTAGATATGTTTCATTATCGTTCCAACAACTCAGAACATTCGTAAAAAATATTCTTTTATTAAACTTTCAATAATTAATAGAAAGACGACAAATTGTAGGTCTTAAAAACAAATATTTTTTGGGACAACATGATTCATGTTTAATCCGACCTGAATTTTATTTATTATTTCAGGTACTTTGAACGTGCTCAGCACTCGGAATGTGACATATCGGCGGACATTATTAAAAAATCTAAAGCGTCCTCGCGCGATCGTGATTCATCCGAATCACGGTTACATCTTCTTCTCCGAATGGGACCGTCCGGCCAACATCAGCCGAGCTCACGCCGATGGCTCCAACCTGGTCGTTTTTAAGAACCTAACTCTGGGTTGGCCAAACGGGCTGGCGATCGATTTTCAGAAAGACCGATTATATTGGTGCGACGCTCTGCTAGATCACGTGCAACACTCCAACTTGGATGGTACGGACGTGCAAACGGTGAACTCCAGATTAATCCGACATCCGTTTTCCATTGCCATTCACGAAAACTGGATGTACATCACTGATTGGCGCCTCGACGCTATCATTCGACTGCACAAAGAGTCCGGCGAGCAAGAAGTTATTTTGGTCCGCGAACCCGCTACTAATAGACTTTACGGCGTGAAAGTGTTCAGCCGCGATATTCAAATATCGGCAATTAATCATCCTTGCACTATCAACAATGGTGGCTGCGAGAAGCTCTGCTTCGCCATTCCGGATAACTCTTCACGCTCCGACGTTGTCACGTTCCCCGGCTTGCAACCGGTGCCGAAGCTCACTCAGGTGTGCGGATGTCCTTACGGAGAACGTCTTCAGGGCAACGGCAGGAGTTGCGCGGCGGATCCTGATGGAGAACCACCCTTGCAGGCTTGCCCGCACACTTGGGACTTCACTTGCGCAAACCAGAGGTGCGATGTGATCTTTTGTATTAATAATTCAGGCTAATTGCTTACAATATATATTTCAAAACCTAAAAAATTTAAAAGAAGAAAAAATGTATGTTACTCAAATTTGAATTAAATTACAATTTTCTGCTTTTTAACATTTTTTTAAACATGAAATATTAATAATCTTCTAATCAGTATATTATCAGTTTATGTTTAATACTTTTGCTGACGAATTCGAACAATTTAACTTTTAATTCATTTTCAGGTGTGTTCCGAAATCCTGGGTATGTGACGGCGAGAACGATTGCCTGGACAACAGCGACGAAATGCAAAATTGCACAAAACCGACATGCAGTGCGAACGAGTTCCAATGCAAATCCGGTCGCTGTGTGCCGATGACATTCCACTGCGATTCCGAAAACGATTGCGGCGATTACAGCGATGAGGTGGGCTGTCCGAATGTGACCTGCAACGCTAATCAGTTCGCCTGCGCCAACAATCGCTGCATCCCTGCAACGTGGAAGTGCGATTCGGAAAACGACTGCGGCGACAGCTCCGACGAGGGCGAGTTCTGCGCGGCGAAAACTTGCTCGTATTTCCAGTTCACGTGTCCGCGTTCAGGGCATTGCATACCCCAATCCTGGGTGTGCGACGGTGATAGTGATTGCTTCGATCAGCAGGACGAGATGGATTGTCCACCGGTTACTTGTCTCAGTACTCAATTCACATGCGCGGATAAGAAGATGTGCGTTTTAGCGTCGTATAAGTGCGACGGTATCAGTGACTGCAACGACGGCTCCGACGAGGTAGGCTGTCCATCATTAGCGCCGGATCAGTGCAACACCGACAAGCAGTTCCAATGCGTTAGTTCGTCCATTTGCATACCGAGAAGCTGGTATTGCGACGGCACCGCGGATTGCCCGGACAAGTCCGACGAACCGGAAGGGGCCTGCGGGGAAATCGATTGTCAAACTGGATTCTTCAGGTTTGTCGCAATTAAATAATGTAAACAAATTTATATTCATCCTATTCTTGTTCGCGATTTCTCGATATGTTTAATATATTTCTAATTTATCGATACGTATGTTTCAGATGCCGCAATGAGAAGTGCGTATTTAAGGCGTACATCTGTGACGGCAAAGACGACTGCGGGGATGGCTCTGATGAAGATACCACGCTGCACGCGTGCGGGCCTCCTGTGTTCAAATGTGAGTCTCAGCAGTGGAAGTGTCCGAATGTAACGAATCGTTGTGTGAATACAACCAGTGTATGCGACGGCAAGTTTGACTGTCCGAACGGGGCGGACGAAGGGCCCGGCTGCGATCTTGCTGAATGCAGCCACCAAGGTGGACTGTGCACGAACGCTTGCATTCAAACTCCGTTCGGCGCACAGTGTACTTGCCCGCCCGGCGAAGAGCTCGAAGACGACTTCACGTGCAAAGATATGAACGAATGCGATCCGCCTGGCAGATGCTCGCAAACCTGCCTGAACACAAAGGGCAGTTACTACTGCACGTGCGTGGACGGTTACACGTTGGAGAAGGACAAACACACGTGCAAGGCGTTCAATCACACCGCCGCGTTCCTAATTATTTCCAACAGACACACGATTTTGGTGGCTGATCTTCAGGATCAAGCGTTGGAGCGAGTCCCGATTAACGTTGAGAACGTCGTGGCGACCGCCAGTAACATGCACACTGGCACTATTTTCTGGTCCGACATGAAACTGAAGCGGATCTCGCGATTGGATCGCGGCAGCGATCCTCAAGACATCATCAGCACCGGCTTGGATCTGGTGGAAGGTCTCGCCTACGATTGGATCGGTCAGAATCTCTATTGGCTGGACTCGAAGCTGAATACAATTGAGGTAGCTAAGGAGACTGGAGCTGGACGGATGATTCTTGTCAAGGAAAATATCACGCAGCCCCGTGGAATGTGCTTGGACCCTAGTCCGGGCACCAGATGGCTCTTCTGGACCGACTGGGGCGAGAATCCGAGAATCGAACGAATCGGAATGGACGGCACGAACCGGTCAACTATCATCAGCACCAAAATCTATTGGCCGAACGGTCTGGCCTTGGACGTGGCGAATCGAAGGATATACTTTGCAGACAGCAAGTTAGACTTCATCGACACTTGTCTCTATGACGGCAGCAGCAGGATTCAAGTTCTAGCCAGCTCGCACTATCTTTTGCATCCCCACTCGCTTACGCTTTTTGAGGATACGATGTATTGGACCGACAGACAACTCAATCGGGTGCTCTCCGCGCACAAGTTTAAAGGCTCCAATCAGACGGTGGTCTCGCATTTAATTTCGCAACCTCTTTCCATACACGTACATCATGCGGTATTGCAGCCAATTACTGCGAATCCCTGCGCTAACGCGTCGTGCGAACATCTCTGCCTCTTGTCGCCCAGTAGTGCAACGGGATACAGCTGTAAATGCCAGGTAAGCAGTCGTGAGAGATAGAAAATTTGGTTTGTTGACGAGAAAACTTGAGTTTTACGAGCCAAACATTGTCGATTACAAGTCATCTCATGTTTTGACGAATGCGTACTTTGTTAAATAGATTGCTACAGATGGTCAATTATTTATTTATTTTAAAGATTGTTAGTATATGTATATTTTTATTCCATTTTTGTTCTAGTATTTTTTTTTCTCTCTTTTTAATGAATGTTACTAAATATTGACCAAATTATTCACTTTTATTTAAATACACGCAATATAAAAAAAAATAACTGGAAATAAATGCTGAAAACAGCAACGATCAATAACGTATTAAAGATCACAATAATGTAAACGGAAAGCGTACAATATTTTTTTATTATTTGTTCTTAGGTTGGATTTAAATTGTTGCCTAACGGACGTTGCGCGGAAGAAGAGACGCCGTACTTAATGGTACTCCGAGGCTCTCAGATTGTTGACATTTCCTTGACGCCCGGAGAAACCAAAGCTGGATACATTACACCTATTGTTAGCGTGGAAGGCGGAAGGTTCATCGATTATGATAGGAAGAATCGTATCATTTATTGGTTGCAAGGTAATTCAAAATATTCTCTCTTTTATTCTAGTTTAGAAATTTTTTTAAAGATTCAAATTAAAATTTAGTTGCTTCAAAAATTCTGAGATGTAAATTTTCAAGGATTTAAAATTGTTCTTAAACTTTTAAGACATTTAGACGATTTTATTAAAATTATTTATTAATTATTTATTTATTTATTAATCACGTTAGGTAAAGATGGCGATGACGAGAACGGCACAATTTATACCATTCCCTACAACGGTGGTAATCGAACGGAGTTCCCCAACCCGAGCGGCGATACCGGCATCGTTGGCTCACCATCCACTATGGCGCTGGATTGGCTCGGTCGCAATCTGTTTATTGGCAATAAATTCGCGTCCAACATCGAGGCCATCAAACTGGACGGCAAGACGAGATATCGTACGATTGTTTTGGCGAACGACGGCAACCGGACATCGGTCGCTAAGCCGAAGGCGATGTGCGTGGATCCTATCGACGGCCAGGTATTTTGGGTGGATGAAGGAGGCTTCGGAGTGCCGCAGAAAATTGGACGGGTGAACATGGACGGCACCAATCCGTTGATCCTCATAGAGAACTTGGAGCGTCCCGAGGCAATAACCATCGATATCCCCAGCAAAACGCTGTACTTTTCTTGCCAGAATCCGGCTTTCGTCAAGGCCATGTCGACGGACGGCCTGAACGTCCACACTATTCTCACCGCGGCGAATAACATGGCATTACCGAAAGCATTAGCTATCCACGAGTCTCGTTTGTACTACTTGGATCCGCTTTACGATAAAATTGAGCGTGTCGATTTACCGAATGGCGAAAACCCAACCATCATCGTCGATAACGACTCCGAGCTTCGCACCCTGACCATTTATAAGAAGCGCGCCACTGGATCTCACCCTTGTCTCAACAACAACGGTGAGTGCGAGCAGATCTGCCTGCCCGCATCCGGCGGCACTCGCGTTTGCGCTTGCGGAATGGAATATAAGAAAGTTAGCGACACCAAATGCGAACCATACAAGACCTTTGCGGTGGTAACTCAGCTGGACGTTGCCAGAGGTTACAGTCTCAAGGACTCGAAGGAAGCCATGGTACCCATTGCCGGAATTGGCCATCACATTCTCCACGTGGACGTGCATTACGCGGGCAATTGGATATATTGGGTGGAATTCAACCGAGGCATCTGGAACGGTATCTTTAGGTGAGAGAAAAAAAAACTATTACTGGCGGATGTTAAATTCTTCAGAGATTTACTATTTCTTCGGAAAGACGCGATATAACAATTGAAATAATATAAATTTCTGTAAGTAAAATTTGTATGTAATAAAAGGTATAAATTTATTAAGAATAAAATGAATTTATATTTCAGAATACGACCCAACGGCACAGAACTGCAACAAGTAGTCAAACAGGGAATTGGCTCCAATGGAATTCGCGGTTTAGCTATAGATTGGATCGCAGGAAACTTGTATTTTGCCAATGTCTTCCCCCATGACAATTACGTGGAGGTCTGCCGGTTAGACGGCTCGAACCGAAAAGTGCTCGTGAAGACAACGACGGACGCTCCCCGCGAGCTAGCCGTTAATCCGATCAAGCGATACCTGTATTGGATCGATTACGGACAGTATCCTCGAATAGGCAAAGCTTTCCTCGACGGCAGCAACTGGTCTCCGATTGTAACGTCCGGTATCAGCACACCGCGCGATCTCACAATCGATCTTGCGACACACGACATTTATTGGGTGGACTCAAAGTTGGATACCATTCAGAAAGTGTCGTACACCGGCGGAAATCGGGAAATTATCCGCAGAAATCTGCCAAATCCGATGGGCGTCGCCATTTTTGGCGGAGATGTCTACTGGGTGGATCGCAATCTGGCCACCGTCTTTAAGGCGAACAAGCTCAGCGGCAACACCAGTCTTCCCATTCCCGTCCGAACGAATCTGCAAAAACTCAGAGACATCGTTATTTTCGATCAAAGCAGCCAACCAGCAGATTCTACAAATCCTTGCTCGCAGGTAGTCAGTTTGTTTCAATATACGCAATTTTTCATCCGAGGAAATAAAACTAAAATAAATTTACCATTACTTTTAACGAAGATAAAGATTTTCTATTTTTTTTTTGTTTTTAGGTTATACCGCACAATGGCGGTTGCTCTCAGCTGTGCTTCGCTTTTCCGAAGGACAATCCCAAATCGTTCACTTGCGATTGCGCGATAGGTAAACTTTCCGCTGACGGTACCACCTGTGACAATGTCGAGGAATACTTGGTCTTCGCCACGCGAACCGAGATTCGCGCCATTAATCTGGATCCGCACAACACCAACGTGCCCTTCGCGCCCATTGGAAACCTGACAAACGTAGTCGGAGTGGATTTCGATTATCAAGACAAGAAGCTGCTGTTCACTCAGATCCGTCCTTGGGCGAAAATCGCGTGGACGCCGGCGGATCGACCGTCCTCCTCCGATTTACACACATTGATCAGCAAAGGAATTAACCCCGAAGGCATCTCGTACGACTGGACGCAGAAGAAGGTGTACTGGACAGATTCGTCCAACAACAGCATCTACGCGATGGACATCGACGGATCGAACTTGGTGATGATTGCACGCGTGGATCGCCCGCGCGCCATCGTCGTGGATCCCTGCAATGGTTCGCTTTACTTCACGGACTGGGGTCGCTTCGGAACATCCGGCAAGATCTTCAAGACCACTATGGCGGGATCTCTGAAGCGCGCCATCATCGACAAGGATCTTTCGCAGCCCAGCGGTCTGGCGATCGATTACGAAGATCGGATGCTGTACTGGACCGACGCCGTGCGCGAGAAGATCGAACGCTCGGATCTCGAGGGAAAAAACAGAGAAATCCTGGTTAGCGCCACCATCTATCCCTTCGCCATCACCGTTTTCCGAGAGCATATCTATTGGACGGATCTCCAGCTTCGTGGAGTTTACCGAGCGGAGAAGCACACTGGGGCCGACAAGATCGAGCTGGTGAAGCGGTTGGAGGATTCCCCGCGTGACCTTCACGTCTTCTCCGCAGCCAGACAGCAGTGCAGCGTTAATCCTTGCAATATCAATAACGGCGGCTGCGATCAGTCCTGCCATCCAGGCCTGAATGGCTCCGCGGAGTGCAAATGCGACGACAATCACAGGCTGGTGAATGAGGATAGAATGTGCGTGCCGAAGAACGTCACTTGCGATTCGAGCAAGTTCGCTTGTAGAAACGGCAGATGCATCTCTCGAATGTGGGCGTGCGACGGCGACGACGATTGCGGCGACGGTTCCGACGAGGACACCAGCTACTGCTGTGAGTGGCACAGAAATATATAAATTCGAATGAGCTCACACTTCAAATAAGATTGCAATTTTAATAAATTTCCGAAATTGTGCGTGTTTCAGCTTACCATTCCTGCAGCCCGAACGAGTTCCGCTGCAACAACGGCCGATGTATCTTCAAAACGTGGAAGTGCGATCACGAGAACGACTGTCGGGACGGTAGCGACGAGGAAGGCTGCGTTTATCCACCTTGCGCGTCAGGCGAGTTCACCTGCGCCAACTATCGCTGCATCCCGCAATCGCAGGTGTGCAACGGCATCAATGATTGCAAGGATAACGTCACCTCCGACGAAACGCACGAGCGCTGTCCTCGCAACACCACATGTCCACTGAATCATCTCAAGTGCGAGAAGACGAATATCTGTGTGGAACCCTACTGGCTCTGCGACGGCGATAACGATTGCGGCGACAACAGCGACGAGAATCCGGTGCATTGCGCTCAGAGAACTTGTCCCCAAAACAGCTTCCGGTGCCCCAATCACAGGTGAAATTTTATGAATAATTTAAGTAATAACTAGATTTTTTTCCAAAAAGACGATTGACAAATTGCATTGCAGAATATTACAGCGCTTTTGCAAGATTTCTCTTTTCTACATGTATTGTTTGTTGCAGGTGCATTCCAGCTACTTGGTACTGTGATGGAGACGATGATTGTTTAGATGGAAGCGACGAGCCTCCCGGTTATTGCCAATCTGAGGGTAGAACGTGCTTCGGCGATTTGTTTACGTGCGATAACGGCAACTGTATTCCTAGAATTTACATTTGCGACGGAGACAACGATTGCTTGGACAACTCCGATGAAGATGAGCGTCATCAATGCAGTAAGCTTTTAACTGCACATTTATTCATCTTCCGAAGACAATTTAATTTTTTAATCAAAGATTAATTAAATTCATTAACTTATTTTTTATTGGAGCTTTACAATGCATTTGAAACGAGGATGAACGAATTACAAATACATTTGTAACATTCCGATATTACATTTAATTTGTTGTAAACTATTTTCCATTATATCTCAATTAATTAATTAAATTTTTAGACGACAGAAAATGTGACGAAGAAACGGAGTTCACTTGCACCGCGAATAAGATGTGGAATCGCGCTCAATGCATTCCGAAAAAATGGTTGTGCGATGGAGATCCGGATTGCGTCGACGGGGCTGATGAGAATGTAACTCTTCATCACTGTCCAGCACCAACGCCTTGCTCCGACACTCAGTTCACTTGCAACAACGGGCGATGTCTGAATCGCAGCTGGCTGTGTGATCACGACAACGATTGCGGCGATGGTAGTGACGAGGGCAAGTTCTGCAACTCTCAGTATAAGCATTGCAACAGTCAAGAATTCACCTGCCAAAACTTCAAATGCATACGCAAGCAATTCCGCTGTGATGGCCAAGATGATTGTGGCGACTATTCGGACGAAGTAGGATGTCGTAAGTATCGAAAACGTGCGAGGAAAATGATCGATCTAATTCGATTATTGAGAAAAGCGTCTGATTTTAGATAAATCCAAACTGTTCTAAGTGAATATATATATTGTTCTTCTTTAACTTCGTTTCTTCTTCTTGACGCTCCGCGCTAGTTCATTTTGAATGAGAAAAATGTTGTTTTTCCAGCGTCTAAAGGAAGGAACACGACGTGTCCAAATCCGAAAGACTTCATGTGCGCGAACAGCAAGTGCATCGACTCGCAGTTGGTGTGCAACAAGGAACCGGACTGCGCCGATGAGAGCGACGAGTTGCACTGCAACATAGACGAATGCGCTCGTATCGAGCTGAACCAGTGCGGCCACAAATGCGTGGACACGCCGACGAGTTTCTACTGCGAGTGTTACGCCGGCTACAAACTGTTAGCTGACGGCAAGGCCTGCGACGACATCGACGAGTGTATCGAGACGCCCCAAGTGTGCAGCCAGCAGTGCGAGAACACGCCCGGCGGATATTATTGCAAGTGCAATTACCGCTGGTACGAGAGAGAGGCTGACGAGCACACGTGCAAGCGCAAAGACAATATTCAGCCGTGGATCATATTCACGAATAAGTATTACGTCAGGAACATGTCGATCGACGCGTCCAACTACAGCCTGATGCATCAAGACCTGGTTAACGTCGTTGCGCTGGACGCTGATTATGCCCAGCAGATGCTGTACTTCTGCGACGTCACCGCGAAAACAATATACAGGTATGCCAAGCTCTTATCTCGTTTAATTATCACTACATAAATTACTATAAGACAAAAATGAATTATAGTTGAATTTATGTGTTGAATAATAGGTGTATTTATTCTTGAGTGATTTGATTTAATATCAAGCGTCAAATTTAATGGCACTAATTTTTGTTCCAAATGTTACAAATAAGTGAACTTTTTGTTTAGAGCGCCGGTGAATGGCGGCGAAAGGGAACCGATTATCCGTCATGATAGCTTAGGCCTGGAAGGAATCGCTATCGATTGGGTTGGTCGAAAATTATATTGGCTGGATCGTCATGCGAAGCACTTGGACGTCGCCGAGCTCGATGGCACCAACAGAAAAACCTTGCAGATCGGAATAGCGGATCCACGCGCGATTGCAGTCCACCCTGGCACTGGATATTTGTATTTCACATCTTGGCATCTTCAGGTAGACTTCAAGCATTTTTAAATCTTCCAATATCAAACGCTTTATTTTTTTTTTTTTTTTTGCAAACAATACTAAGCAACGTTGGAGAAGCTTATCTGTAAATTATATTTGAAACTTCAGGCGTATATTGGTAAGATGGGCATGGATGGTAGCAATCTCACTCGAATTCTGACGTGGGAGGACGATATTGCTTGGCCGAATGCCCTCACAATCGATTACTTCACCGATCGCATTTTCTGGGCCGACGCCCATCTGGACTACATCGCCTTCGCCGATCTCGAAGGCCACAATCGACGGATCGTCCTGTCCGGCGTTTCAGTGCCGCACGTGTTCGCCATCACTGTATTCGACGACTTCGTTTACTGGACCGATTGGAATCTGAAGGCCATCAGTAGGGCGGAAAAGTTCTCCGGTGCTCACTTGCAAGTGCTGCGCAACACCACCCATCGGCCCTACGACATCCACGCGTATCACCCTCTTCGGCAGCTGCCTTACAACAATCCCTGCGCGGAGAACAACGGTGGCTGTTCGCATCTCTGTCTCATCGCGCCGCCCGCCAGCTCGTATCTGCTCGAGGGATACGGCCAGCCTGGAGTCACTTCTTACAAGTGCAAGTGCCCGAATCAGTTCATTCTGGACAAGGACGGTAAGACGTGCATAGCGAATTGCACCGCGGGCCAGCATCGATGCGGACCACCCGACGAGAAATGCATTCCTTGGTACTGGAGGTGAGATATATTTATTTTCTCATCTATTTTTCTCTTGCAAAAAGACGTCTTCAGGACGTCTTGGCTCTTATTAACTTACTTCTATAATTGAAAAGTTTCATTTAGATATAATTACGTTCCATTGTCTGCCAAATAAAACTGGACGAGAAATTACGATGAGAATTGTATTGCAGATGCGACGGAGAGAAGGATTGCAAGGATGGTTCGGACGAGTCGTCGACCTGTCCGCCAAGGAACTGCCGTCCAAGCGTGTTCCAGTGCGCGAATGGAAATTGTACGCCGAGCGTGACAATTTGTGACGGGATTGACGATTGCGGCGACAAAAGCGACGAAGCTAAGTGCAAACTCGAGTGTGGAGAGCTCGAGTTTAAATGCAAATCCAATGGTCGTTGCATACACGATTCCTGGAAATGCGATGGAGATGCCGACTGTAAAGATGGTAGCGATGAGGATCCTGCTATTTGTCGTGAGTATCTTTCTATCTGTGTGTTGCGCGCGTCAATCATTGCTTATTATATGTATAGCAATAACATTACATTAATATTTTCGATCGGTAAGATGACCTTAATTTTCAATTTCTATTTTTTACATTTGTTTTAGATAATCGTGCCTGCGATCCGAGCACCGAGTTCAGTTGTAAGAATGGCAAATGCATTCCCAAGCTTTGGATGTGCGATTCCGACAACGACTGCGGAGATGACAGCGACGAGCCGGCGTACATGTGCCGGCAGAAGAATTGTACGACTGGATGGCAGCGGTGTCCAGGACACGCGAACTATCGATGCATACCGAAGTGGCTGTTCTGCGACGGGAAGGACGACTGCCGTGACGGCTCTGACGAACGTCCGGAGAACTGTCCGAAATGCGATCCCAACATGGACTTCAAGTGTGCCAATAACCGATGCGTGCCGAAACAATGGCTCTGCGACTTCGCCGACGACTGCGGGGACGGCAGTGACGAGGCAGACGTAATGTGCAAGGACAAGTACCGCAAGTGTTCCGAGTCTGAATTCAAGTGTAAAAATGGCAAGTGCATCGCGTCCAGATGGAGATGCGACGGCGAGGACGATTGCGGCGACAACAGCGACGAGGAGGAATGCCATCGATGGGTGTGCAAGGTAAATATCTATTGATCAACTCGCAGCGAATTTGATCGCGTACATTCATACGCACCGGCGTTTGCATTAAATATCATATTAATTAATTGAAACCATACGCATACATAATGTATAAGCGAATTAAATCCGCGAGATGCTCAATTTAATTTATCATTTAATCACGATTATATCATATATAATAATTCTAATGTTATATAATAGTTTTTACAATTGGATTACAACGTATGACAGATTTTAATCTGATGCAAGTGAATGAATTTCGTATTGCATTGTTATATTTTGTTTCAACTTCTTTGTGTATCGCAGAATGAGAGCTTCCAATGTACCAGTGGTCATTGTATCGCGCCGTATCTTCGTTGCGATGGCGCGCGAGATTGCCGCGATATGAGTGATGAGATCAATTGTCCGCCGAGATATCCTGGAGGACGATATTGTCCGCAGTCGCGATTCCAATGTAACAATAACCTCTGCGTTTCGCTGACTGATATTTGCGACGGCACTGATGACTGCGGCGACAATTCCGACGAGAATCCAACCATGTGTGGTGAGTTGATTGCGAACACGTGACATTTTTACGTAACAGGGGTAAAAAAAAAAGGTAACGCTATTATATTTGTGCAGCGAATTTCGAGTGCGACACGCACAGGCGATTCCAGTGCGCCAACCACAAGTGTATCGCCAGGTATCAATTATGCGACGGGATCGACAATTGCGGCGACGGTTCCGACGAGAACAACATGACGATGTGCGTGAAGCAGATTCGACCGTGCGACTCGACGTTGGAATACACCTGCGCGAACAAGAAATGCATCGATCGGTTGAGAGTCTGCGATCTCGCGGACGATTGCGGCGATTTGTCGGACGAATTGGGATGCCGTGAGTACTATTTCGCATGTTCCTCCGCTCTATCGCGGCCGCAATTGTAAAGCAGCTGTCTTGCGTTTTCAGATCATCATCAGCATTGTTCGGAGATTGATCGCGGCGGTTGCTCGCAAAAGTGCCACAACACTACCGACGGCGGCTACATCTGCGCCTGTTATCCTGGTTACATAATCTCGCAGGAGAATCGGAAACATTGCGTGGACATCGATGAGTGCCAGACTGGCCAGCATCAATGTTCCCACATCTGCACTAACTTGAACGGCACGTACGCTTGCTCTTGCCGACAAGGTTTCCAATTGTCAGACAGCCACAGCGGTGTGTGTCACGTCGAAGATGACGACGTCGTCGTACTGTTCGCTAACGGACCGGAACTTAGAGCCTACGATCTGCACAAAAGAGAAGAGATGGACGTGATAGATCACGAAAAGAGAGTGCAAGCTATCGACTTTGATCCCCGAATGGAGTACGTTTTCTGGATTGACTCGTACGACAACACTATCAAGCGGTCCTTTATGGTGAAAGCCAAGGAAGGCGAGGCAAAAATTGGACACGCACAGGACCTGAATATGAAGAGTACATATCATTCAATTTTTCTGTTCATTCATTTTGGCTTCTTGAAATTTTAAGATATTAAAATTTGAATTTTTTTTTAAATGAGTATTTATCTTTGAAACTTCACACTATTTAACAGTGTAATAATATAATCGTCATTCACATCTACATATATTTGCGAGTAATGTCAACGGTATTAATTAACACTAATTTTCGCAGCTGATTCCAAGCCGACGAGTTTGGCGGTAGACTGGATCTCCGACAATCTGTATTGGAGCGAGCTGGACCAAACAACCACCACACCTCGTGGTCGAATTATGGTTTCAAAATCGGATGGCAGGTACCGACGCAGCTTAATTACGACGAATCTCGAGCAACCAACGTCAGTGGTCGTGGATCCTGAGCAAGGAGAGCTCGTATGGGCGGACGCGGGTAATCAGCCGAAGATTGAGATAGCCTGGATGGATGGTGAAAGGCGCAAGTCGCTTGTGACGGAACGGATCGCTAGTCCTTCGGCGCTTACCATTGACTACGCTATGGAGCACACGCTCTATTGGTCCGACAGCAAATTGGACACCATTGAGGCGATCAGTCTGGCCGGCACGAACAGAAGAGTCATTTTGAAGGGCAGACCTCTCAGGAAACCAATAGCACTGGATGTTTTTGAAAATAATCTTTATTGGACGACGAAGCAGACAGGCGAACTTGTTCGACAAGATAAGTTCGGCAGAGGCGTCCCGCACACTATTGTCAAAAATCTGCCTAGTCCCGGCGGTGTCAGGGTCTATCATCAGCTGAGATATAACATCAGCCTGAGAGATCCTTGCCACAATGACCAGTGCAGTCATCTTTGCGTGACGATCCCCGGCGGTCATCGCTGTCTCTGCTCAGACAGCGTCGGCACGCTTCAGCGACTTTTCGCTGAGAACGAGAGACACTGCGACGCCACTAATGAGAGGCCTCTTCCGGCGCCCAGAATATGTCGTTGCCAAAACGGTGGACGGTGTCAAGAAGTGGACGAGAAGCTGGCGTGCAACTGCCGCGACGATTTCCACGGTGAATTCTGCGAAGTGGCGGCGATCGCCACGAGGGCGGGTGGATCTACCGCTGCTATAGTTATTCCCATAGTTGTATGCCTGCTGATGTTGTTCTGCGCCGCCGCCATTTTCATGGTTTTCAAGAAACGACCATTGTAAGCATAATTATTTTAGACATAATAATACACGATAAAAATGATTTGCTCACAAATTTTATCATTATTTATCATTATTTACAGCGGCAAGCCCGGTGGCCTCGGTAGTCTCACAGGTGCTCAAAGTGTTTCCTTCCGCCAAGGCAGCAATGTAGAGTTTGGTGCAGAAGCTCACGAAAGGATGGTAGGTTCTTTATTAGCATGAATACCTGTTTCTCTTGTAAAAAAGCAAAGTTTATTGTCAAAGTTCATTGTTGGTAGGTCTAGAATTTTACATTTTCTTCATTACGATGCATTGAAATCTTATATTTTAAACAATGAAATGGTCTTGAGAATATCAAAATATACATTTTATTCATTTTTATGCCTTAGAATCTTATATCATAAGATTTTGGTAGGTTTAGAACTTCAGAATGTACACACGTTTTCTTCACTACAACGGAAATCTTTAAGCTCTATAAAAAACATTAAGAAATTCTATTTAATAAATTTCTCTGTTATTTTTTATTCTATGCATTATTATTTTGTTTACAGGAACCTCTCGATGTGGAATACAACCTAAACGATGTTACCAATAAGAACCGAGATTTCAGCAATCCAATGTACGACGCAGTGAATATGGAGAGTGGCACCACGAACGGTACTGGTGCCAGCAACTTGTACGAAGTACAGCCCGCGGAGATGAAGCCCTCCAGCATACAGCACAAAGAGCCTCCACAGTTGCATCTGAAGAGGAGGGAATTGGACCCGACGCCCATCGACTCGGGCAAGGACACTCAGCAGCTCGTCGAGGAGGACAAGTCCGAGTGCTAGAACTAATTCCTAATTTAGAGATTCTTTCAGATCTATCGTGCTTCGAACTCAACACGCAGATCGAGATGTTTAACGATTGCGAAGAGTATATAGGAACACGACGTAAATTAGTTTACCTCTTTTACATAAATAGTGCGGATTACTTGCAGCTGCTCGTACGTTATTTATTAAGCAGATTATTCAATGAAATGTTTTCAACATGTGGCGATTGATTTAAAGTTCTGTCTTATCTAGTGATGCGAAAATTTTGTGATTTTCGAGTTTCCGAAAAGAAAGGAATACCAAGATCACACACACACACACACAAACATATATATTTATAGATAAATGATTTTGTGTGCGAGTGTGCGTATAAACGGATGTGTGCGTATGTACATACATATACACGAGGTGTACATATAGAATCATTTATATATAGGTATATATGTACATATAAATGTTGGAGAGTATATATATACAGAGTGTTTCAAAAGGAATCTATCAAAATGCGGAGACAAAAAAATCTATAATATAAATTTTCAATAAATCTTATCTATAATTTTCTTCTTTTGATCCGTGAAACATGTCTCTGTGACTTCTGAAATATCTCTGTGTGTATATATATTTATATATACGAGTAATATAGATTGTTATAGCTGTAGAGTCTTACAGATGCATGGATTTACAAAGGCTTAGGCTGCAAGGTTTCTAGAAGCAATTGAGTTTTTGGATTTATAAATCTAATATTTTTCCCTTTTTTAAAAGGATTCTAGATAATCAAAATTTGAAAATGTTGAATAAAAGAATTTTTTTGTAATAGTCATAATTCTACAACTTTGTATATTCTTGCATCTAAAGATCTCGACATGTTTAAATTTTAAAACTTCCTAAATCTAGAGATTTTTAAATCTGAAAGTTTTTATAAATCCATAGAGCCTTTAAGCCAGGAATTGTGAACTGGTTTTTAGGATTTTGAAATTTTTGAGAGTATATAAATGACAGACGACAATAGGCGAGTCGATCTCGTATCGATTTTATAGGGAGAGCAAGTCGAAACCGAAGCGCAATAGACACGATTGTGTCATTTTTTACTAGGTGTGATTTGTAAGTCTTGTACATATAATTGCTAACAAAATATAATGTTCATGTTATCTGTGTACCATAAAAGATGCAACACATTCCATTCTTTCTCAAGGTTGCTGCTTGAAATATAGCGATAACGCAGGACACTTTCAATAGTTAGGATGTGTATGTATATGTGTGTGTATGCGTGCACGTGCGCGCGGTGCTTCAATTGATATATTGCATCTTTTGATAATTCTTTAAAAATATCCACCATGATATTTTTATATATATTTTAAAATACTATGGTTTATGTCATATAAAACAATTGTACTGTAAAAAAAATCATTTTACTTAAAAAAATCGTGTTCAATTTGGACAATAATTTAAACAAAATTTGTACAATAGTTTAATAATTTAAATTTATTTCGTTTATTTTAGTTATAACAATTCGAACACTTAATGTACGCGTCAAAATTAATTCTCAACTACAATATAGTGAAAGTTAACTTAATTTGATAAAAATCTATAATGTCAAAAAGTATTCTTTATTCTATTTTGTAATATCTCCTACTTCTTTTTTTTATATCATAAAGTAGAACAAAGATATAAGTAAAGTTTGATATTATTTTTATACTTTTAATAAGATTCAATTAAAATTTAATATTCTCAAAATTAAAAGTAGTGATCCTGCTATAGAAATGGCATTGAAGTAATTAGTGGTTGAGTGTTAATAATGCACGCACATTCGTTCAGAAAATTGTATTTTTAGTAGAATATTTTCATAAGGCGCGGTGTTGTATAGTTTTTTATGTTGAAAAGTGCCCTTTTTTGTTACGGTGAATAGAAATGTGTAAACGCAAGACGCAAGATGTATTTTATGTATGAGTGTATTGCTCTCTTGTGCACTCTCTTGTGGATGTTATTACAAAACGATCGATTGTACAACAGGAAGTATCTCTTCCACGGTAAATATGCGCTTCAAACATTTATACAATCGATATTATTGTACATTTTTTAGATTATGTGGAGTATTTAAAAAAAAACCGGCTGAATTAGAAGGTTGACAAGAATTTATTCGCGAAATTAACTCTTTTAATCTCAAAATCCAAAATTTATTTCAACATTTTTGCATATTTTCTTATCTTCTACTATTTTTAATATGTTTATGTTTTTCTAAACGTTTTTATTTCTTTTCTATAGAATAATGCTAAAATAATGTCTTTGCAAACGATAAAACAAAATTCTCATCTCTATTTTAACTATAAGTTCCCTGTTTTTTTTTTTATAAAAACCAGTAGAAACAGATTAAGAAATATTTAAAACAATTGGAAATACAAAGAATTATAAAATTTATAAGAACAAAAGAATTAATACCGGATGAATGCTTGTCAATTCCTTTTAATTACTTTTAGTGCATATATTTTTTACAGGATCAGTAAGCTTGCAATTCTTCTCTTATAATAGTGCAATGTAATAATTATTGTATTCTAATATTTATAATTCCCGTATTTTTTTTAAATGAAATTTTATTTAAAATTTTGAAGAATTTGTTTAAGTTCTATCTCATATTGTTTTAAAAAAATTAAACTTTATTTAAAATTTAAAAAAATTTTTTTAGATTTTATCTCATATTTTATATTATGTTACTTAATTTTGAAAATGTTAGATATATAAAATACACAATCCGATGAACAAATGGTTTCTAAACGATCTAAAAGACAGTGGTATTTAATTTATACTTTATTAAATTAAAAAGTCTAACTAAACATATGTTGTACATATATGCTTTGCAAGAAAAAGAATTATCAATACTGATCCATTCTCCGCATAGATTATTATACATAAATATAAATAAATAAACAAATAAATAAAGATATATATATATTTTTTGTTGCAATCGATTTTGATCTGGACAGAGTTCCAGTGTCCTAATATTATAACAGTATTTTGTGTATTTTTTTATCAAGTTGACAAAATAATAATTGTTAATATATTGTGGAAATATCAAACAGATACCGTCCAAGAATAAACTGTAAAATTGGTAATCCAATTTTCCCTATATCTATGCAATAACAAACGCATTTGCAATTGTAGCATTTTTAAATCCTGCTATTGTAAATTATATTGTTATCAATAATCCATTACCTTTTTAGTTTTATGCAATTTTTACATCCTACTAATACCTTTCTTTGACTAAATTAGATTATAATTAAAATTTAACTTTAATATTGTGCAGTATATTGCACTTATCGTTAAATTAATTTTATTTTGGGGAACAAAACAAAACAGTGTCTATGCTTTTAAATCTTCTCTTAGTAAATGCGGAAATAGCGGGAAAGCTAAAACATCACAGAATTTGATTTTATTAATATTTTATACTCATTCCTAATGTGATTTATTACAGGATTCTGATTGTATCTCAAGCAACAAGTATTAGTCATAAAAGAATTTTTGCCACTGCTCCAATTGTCATGGCAATATTTAAACAACACCTATACATAGCATTACTAATAGCGCGATAATAATGCAATGATAATGACGAGAAGGTTGCACGACACTAACAAAACGGACGTACGTTGGCGACGTCAATGGCGTAGAAGCATTGCTGTAAGTAGAATCGCATTATCATACATAAAACACATTATCATTATACTTGCAAAAATTTTCTTAACGGAATTTCGCGATAACTTTAAAAAAATATTTTTCTGGCAACGTAAAATCTACAAATCCTTTTGACGTCGAGTCCGCAATGATAAACAATTTAATGTCGTTTTCTTTTACATCACGAATTAATTTTGCAGGTGTTATTCTTTTCGGCATTCGAAGCATTCGGAGCATCCTATATACGACATGAAGCATTGCAACACATCGAAAGAAGGCTTTCTCAAAAAAGAATTTTCCGAAAGTATTCGTCACCTGCCGTTATTTTTATGTTACATCTTCGACTTTTACAAATATTTTTCCGCGTCGATTTGACGTTGATTTTTTTAGGGCTGCATGCGCCAATGCCGATGATGATGATGCGTACTCTCTGCGAGCGAGAGAGCGCAAGGGCTCGGACGTGACGCGCTTCAGTATCACTGACTCCAGTATCGCATACGCACCGTGCCGATCATGCTTTCTCACGAGAGAACATGATCCTTCATCCGCAGCGGCACGTGCCGCGATTAATTAAAACGAGGAACACAGCGAAATGCTGTACGTTGATATTCGCTACCTACGTGATTCGTAATCAACAAATCGACGTGCAAGCAGCTTTTCAACCGGCAATCGGTGATGAGATATCTGATCCAATTTGATTAACCGATGACGATTGGATGACAACGTAGTGTCGCAAAAGAGCAGAAAGTTCTCGACGAATATTTATTACGAAAGGTAAACGTTTATGATTTTATAGTGTTTTTATTTTTAAATGAGATTTTTTTCTTAAGGAAAGTGGAAAGTTTAAAATTTTGAAAAAATTAATTTCAAATTTTTTGCATTTTTATAATTCTTCTTTATTTTAATTCTTTACTTTAATTCCTCGTAGTAGCGTGATTCTTTAGAAGTATTTTCCCGCTTATTAAAATAAAAATTCGAAAAATTGCGATCAACGAAACAGGAAATGTGAAGCGATACGCGAACAGTCGGAAGACGGGAGTTAGATCATTGCGCGCAAAATTAAATTCTTATTCTGTAACGGCGAATCAAAATTTATCGAATTTTTTCCTGTAAAATCTACTTCTAAAGAAAATTTGATTACGATTCACAGATTTTTTATGCAATCCTAATTATTTCGGTATAACCAAATCTTTAAATTTTTTAAATTAAAATATACAACAAAATTTTAATTTTTAATTGTATTTTAACATTTACATTAGAAAAGAATTAATCGCAATTGCATAATATCACCTTTTTTGCGTTTTTCCTTATGCATATTGAGTGTCGCATCGCGTAGCGACTTGTGTGTGCTAAATCGATAAGCGCGGATCGTGATAGTGAATTTATTACAAAAAGTGTTAACATTGCAGAATCATCCACTTCTGATTTTAATCCGTTAAAAGCATCACTCAAATTGTTGCGATAGAAACGAATGACATTAAATCTTATCAATATTTACGCGTTTTATCGTTATTTCATCGAGTTTGACAAACCAATATCTTTTCCAGGACTTCCTGTCCGGTTATCGCTCCTACCGCTCGTACGGCTATGAATATTATCTTTGTCCGTGACTACGCTTCAGAGGATACATTACCGTTTTCACAGGTGTGAGAACGTCTGCTTTTCGGCATAGGAATGACGCAATACAAGTTTGAAACCCGTAAGACCTAGGTGAGTACAGTGGTGTCGAAAAGAAGAATACGAAATTCGTAAAATGATATCAACATTTTGTCAATATTATTATAATTGGGAATCTGCTGAAAGAAGTTGGTTTCAAATTACGAACATTTCTATTTAATTGAAAATTGTTGATTCATGTTTTCGTGGATGAATTCGATGCGTAAGTAATTTATAGTCCTTGTTTTTCATCGCAATTCCACTGGAAAAACATTCATATTGCCTACAGAATATCCGATAGAACAGCAAAACTCTGCGTTTGCTGAATCGCAACTTTGGAGGAAATTTGATATTCTTTCTTTATTTATACACGTGGAGATTAAAAACTTACGACGAGAAATGAACAAAACTTATTTTAAATGAATATTCGCGATTGAATATTCGATTTCCGACATTTTGATTTTTTGTCACGTTTTAAATTAATTGTTTGTAAATATTTTTCACAGGCGCCTCAAGAGAAAGATTGTGTAGTCGCGGAAAAAGATCCGCATTCGCAAGATTTTCGGAGCCGATGCCAATACGCTCCGGCACAATTTCGGAGCGGCCGTTTCCGCGCCACTGGGAGCGCATGGTCGCACTCTCTGCTGCCAGTGTCGCGCCAGTTCGATCGTGCCGTCGTGCAGGGTAGAGGCGGTCAGAGGTGGTGAGCTGGCGTTTACCGACACAATCGCATTCACGAGCGCGAAGAGGAGGAGTGCACATCGTCGAGCAGAGAACGGCTGGCCGCGAACGATATCGCAGTCGAACACGTGTGTCCGTCGTGCGAACGTTGCTTGTCACGTGGCGACTAGACGAGTCTTTCACATTTTTCTCTCTCGCCGTTCTCTTCCGTTTTGGATTTCCGCCTTCTTCCCGTCTACCCACGTGCACGATCGCGTTGTACGCGCCGACGCGCGGCCGGCGATGTCCACGCGGCACGCCGCGTTCAACATTTGACTACTGCAGATCGTCAAACGTGAAAACGCGGGAAATAACGGGGAGTGTAAGTTCCGCAACGTGTGCAAATACTAGAAAATGCCGGACAAAGTGGCGCCGGCGGAAAAGACGGTCCTGCGGCCCGATGCCGCGGGGCCCGACGCAAACGGCGAAGGTATCAAGCTGAAAAAGGAACTGGGGCTGTGGGACGGCGTGGCGATCATCGTCGGCATCATCGTCGGCGCCGGTATCTTCGTATCGCCCAAGGGCGTGCTCAGGAACAGTGGCAGCGTCGGCCAGGCTCTCTTCGTTTGGATCTTTTCCGGAATCTTGTCGCTCATCGGAGCCCTATGTTATGCCGAACTAGGTGAGTGAATGACGAAATTTCGCGAAGCAGTTGCTCGAAGGTCCTCCAAATTCCCGCGCTTGATAGAGTGGGGAGCCGCTCTCAACGTGCTCTCTAATATAAAATTGAATTTCAAAAGAAAGAGCTATCCCTCTTTTGCAAATTTATTCAGTTGTTGAAACATTATTAATGATGTTACTAACACGCGAAGTTATGCTAACAATAAGTTTTTGATGAATTTCAAAATTTCTTAAGCAATGACAATGTTATTTCGCTGTAATGTTCACAATTTCATAACATAATATTCTTTCATTCTTTTTTTATGATGCAGGAATAATTTTAAATATCAGAAGCAGTTTTGAAAAACCATTTTTTCAGTTAGTTTTGAGTGAAGAATATAGTGGAACTTTTTTCTGAAAAGCGAAAAATGTAGTATAAATTGTTTTTTGAAAAGTAATGTTTTATTTACGCCAAAAATTGTTTAATTTTGTGTATTTAATGTTATCTTTCTGCACGTTTTATTTATTGATCATAATCTCTTTTGAAATGTTTTCAAATTTCTAGACTTCCTATTTGCAGAAGGCAAATATCTCAAACTTTCTTTGTTTATTTTAATGTCTGCTTCCTGTCTCTTTGTCTTAACTAATATATCAAACACTGCATGTTTAGTACGCGTGGCATATCGTCGATGCAGCCATATGTTGACAGAACACTTGTACTCGTGCGATATCTCGATGACTAACAATAAGATACGTTGGCATCAATGACCTGAGAAGGGACCGAGTGAGAATTTTGAACGAGCTATTTTTCTCGACGGGAATCACAGCTCAATGCAATATATATTCAGACATTTTACGATCACTTTATTCGAAGTCGTTTTGCAAAATTACACTCGAGCCTGAAATCTCATGAATGACGAATATGAACAAAAATAGAAAAAGTAAGAGAAAGTTCTAGATTTAATTTAATTTTTATATTTTTTATCATTATGTATTATGTACTAAATTAATAATCATTTTATTTTTATGACAAAATTTATTTAAATATCTATATAAATTAATAATTTTTATACTTTTGGCCAAATGTTCTTGCGATAAAAACTTTTGACTGAGGTGGTACACTTTCTTTTTATTCTGTTTAACGTGGTAGACTTTCTTTTTATTCTGTTTATTGATAATTCTCGGCCATAAATTTAAAACTCCACTTCTGCTCAGAGTGTCAAAGTTTATCAAGATCCGCTATTTGAATTTACGACCTTGCCATCCGCACAATTTCTTTCTATGTCATCTGATAAAAAATTTTAATCTTGTCTGATAAAAAAATTGCAATCAAATCACATATTTCTTATCTATAAAATGTGAGGAAAAGTTATCAGCTTCGAATGTTCAGATAATGTATTACATTTTCTGATCTGAGGTAATTCAGCATCTGACCTCTATTGATTATCTACATGTTACATTTATATCTTTGAAAATATATGCATTTATATATCTCGGTCAGTGGTTATCGATTTATCATAATTTTTTAAGTGAAAGAAAATAAATTCCAGTCTTTAGAGCACGTAATACAAATTCGTGAATCTCTTTTTGCGTTAATAACGATAACATACAACAATACATTTCAGTTGTAAAAAATTTTCCGCGTTGCAAAAGATCAAAGTGTAATCAAACGTTGACATAATCATGTATCGACGACATAATCACATATAGGGATGCTTTTATTCTAGGTGCAAACTGCATCGATTTTGCTTAAAATAAAATTGCCTTTAATTTATTTCCACGCGACATAGACATTTTGCAATATTGGTTTACGTGGAACAGATATCTGGTGCTAACTGTCTTTATTTAGAATCTCAACATTGATAACGATAAACGATATCATTTGCATACGCGTGAATATACACATTGTTTGTTCTAAGCGGATTCGAGCGTCTTAATTGACGCTTGTTTTCGTGATTTCGCACAGCTGGCAAAATAACTAAGCAAATCCGCCGCGCGTGAAAACGTTTCGTGAGAAACGTCGTTGATTAATCGAGATCAAAAGGGATGCGTGACAGCTGCGAACGGAGGTGAAGTTAAACTGTCATTACTTTGTAACGAGAGAACCGGACGTTGTCATGTATAAACTGTGGCAATTTCGTAAATTACCAATCTGATTAAGTGTTTGCGCTTCAAACCACATCCATGATTATCGTTATCTCGTTATCGTTATCGCATACGGAACGCTTAATTAACGACATACTCGTCAAATGCTCGTCAAATTAGAAAAATATTTTTGCAATTAAATTAAATGATTTTTGCAGTTTAAATTAAAGGATCAATGCGTGAATAACTCGATTCAATTTTTTTCAAAAATTGGAGAAGCCACATAATTTCTTTGCTTGATCAAAATGAATAAAACTAAGTTCCCAAATTCTTTCCTTAGCAAGAAATCTGATAAAGCTAAATTCATTGTCTGTTATTTGAAATAAAATTAACATTTATGTACATTAAAATTAACTTCTAATTAAGCGATTGTAATGTAAAGAAACCAATTTTTGGCTGATTAATATTTGTAGAGTGTCAAGCGATTTTTTAATTAAAAGACAATATGCAAAAATTAGAGCTGAATCTAAAATCATATGTGTTTAAGATTGCACGAACATGTGTTCTTTTCAGCTGTAGCACCGATAAGAAAATACGTTAAACAGTGCGTCAGATTTCGCACACACTGTAACGAAATCCGGTTGTGTATCTAACGATAGTACTAAGTATTGAGTTGCGAAGACGGAGCAAGTGTTACAAGTTGAAACATATACGATAAAACTAAATTAAAAATAGGATCACCGAAGATGAATCGGACATAAAAGCACGGTGTCACAAAAGGCGAATGGACGGAATGATAAGGTGCATCGCCGGCGTGCATCATCGCGAGACAAAGTCAATTCGCGTTGGGAATTGCAGAGTCTGCAATAATGCGATGGCACACGCTCTCGACCCGACCCGACCCGACCGGACAAAACACTCAACAATATTACATTGTACGATTATCAATGGCAAACAATACCGATGTGTCTTCCGCCCTGATGATCCTTGACATGTGTAATATCGTCGGCGGCTTTGAGAAATTAATCTAATTTGACGTCACACAAATAAAATCATATCAGGCACAATAATATAAAACATGACCGCACTGTGATCTTCATGTCTGTCTATTTCACATATGTTTTCTCTTATAATCTCTTTTTTTTCTATCTCCCTTTCACTTTTCTGTCTCCCTTTCACTTTTCTTTCACTCTTCGCTCATTTATTTCTTAGTTTGATTTTAAATTACTGGAAACAGTGATTCAACACACGTTGTTGAAATCTTAGTAACTTCGAAATGCCGAATTAATTCTCTTATAAGGAAAACATATGGATGATACCTTTCTGTATTTACAGGTACGATGATTCCCAAAAGCGGCGGCGATTACGCGTACATCAGCGACGCCTTCGGACCCTTACCGGCGTTTCTTTACCTCTGGGTGGCGTTATTCATCCTCGTGCCGACGGGAAATGCCATCACAGCGCTCACATTCGCGCAGTACATCTTGCAACCTGTTTGGCCCGGATGCGAGCCACCGTATGAAGCAGTGCGGCTTCTTGCCGCCGTGATAACATGTAAGATTATGTTATTCCATTCATTTATTTACGTAAACGGATAACGATCTTTTTGGTGTGCGCTAGACACGCGGAATATAAATTGAAGCAAGTCAATGAAATAACAAACACCTGCTAGGCTAAAAGTATCTCGATGCGCGAGTGAGATGCGATTATCACGCGGATGATCTGCGCCGATCCGCGAAAATACGGCGCAAAATGTGTGTATGCGACTTTTAAATATAGCCCGGAAACGTTATTCAGGCGTATTGGATTATCTTGCACGCGCGTGCGAGCGCGATGGCAAACAACATGTGGCAATCTTTGTGTTCTACCGTTGTTCGCAGGTCTGTTAACCGTTATTAATTGTTACAACGTGAAATGGGCAACTAGGGTGCAGGATATCTTTACCGCCACCAAGATCCTCGCTCTGGTGATCATCATGGTGGCTGGTTTCTATTGGCTTTGCATGGGCCATACGGAGAACTTCAAATCTCCGATGGCAGGCACCAACACCGAGCCCGGTTACATCGCTCTGGCGATCTACTCCGGATTGTTTTCTTACTCAGGCTGGAATTACCTCAATTTTGTGACGGAAGAACTCAAAGAGCCCTACAAGTAATTGCGAATTCTTGCAATTTCTTTTCTAATTAATTTGTAATCGGAAGAAACTATGTAAATCCAGGTCAAATTAACTATTTGCTTATTTCGGCGGAAATTAATGTGTTTTGTACTGTTAATTTTTAATATTATTTATATTATTAGAACATTTATATTTATGAAAAATAAGTAACGTGTGAAGTGCAATTAAAATTTAAAATATTTGTTCGTTTTAAATTTTTAATAGAAATTTCTAATTGCACACTTTTGTAATAAATGTTATTTTCTTTTTATTTTTGCAGGAATCTTCCTAAGGCGATTTGTATATCATTGCCTGTGGTGACAGTGATTTATGTCTTCGCGAACGTCGCCTACTTTGTTGTACTCACGCGTGACGAAATACTTGCTTCCAATGCTGTCGCTGTGGTGAGTTGCGTTTATATTTAATAATAATTATTATTAATGTGAATATTGATCTGCAATATGGATTTATTGCAAAGCAAAAAAATTAATATATTCTCATTACATATTTTGAAATAAGAATAATATACAAAAATCACGTGTAAATAGTAAATTTTAGAGAAAAATTCTGGACAATTTATTTTAAATCACGGAAATAACTTACACTAAATTGCACAGTGTTATATGTTGGGCAATAGAGAGCGAATTGGTTTCCTCGATTCGTGCAATTGTCTTCTTTTTTCAAAGAGAGATACAATTTCGGTAAAATCAGTATTGTTACACGTGATAGGAATCGTGATTTAACATGACTTATTTGATGTAAATAAGAGACTTGCGCAATCCTGCGGCCGCTTTCCGGTATAATCAAGATGCCGTTCCACTTTCGCCAGTGTAGCATTAATGCGATGGAATTTCCTTTCTAGACCTTCGGCGATAAACTACTGGGCGTCATGTCTTGGATCATGCCGTTTTTCGTGGCGTGCTCGACTTTCGGAGCATTGAACGGCGCGATCTTTGCGTCGTCCAGATTATTCTTTGTCGGCGCCCGAAACGGGCATCTTCCCACTGCCATTTCCCTGATTAACGTCCGCAACTTGACGCCGATGCCATCTCTCATCTTCCTCGTGAGTATCAAATTCTTCTTCGTTAAATTAATCAAAGTACGAAAAGAAACGGGCGAGTGAAAAAGCGATACAAATTTATTTCATAAAACTGAATTCCTTAGCTTCAGAGTTTTTAATTAAAGTGTTATAAAACGGTCGATTCCGAATATAATATCTGTCGATCAAATTTAAATAATTTTATTTCAATAAAAATCGAATAAAAATCGAGTGGAAACATCGCGAACGACTTGTACTTTTGCAGTCAATTCAATACGATGATAATTTCAAACTCACCTTGAAAACCGAACAAATGTATTTTTTTCCTGTCATTTTAATTATTGTCGATAACCGCATAATGATAAAAAACTATTCTGTTATCACTATAAAATGTATGTTTGTTCAGCGTATCGCGAATTTATCTGGTGACGGAAAATGGAATTGTTATATGTGATATTTAATAGGTATATTATTAATCGATCTATCGGAGTTAAGCCAATAAAGATAACGTTTATCATATTTGTGACAAAACTAAAACTAAACTTAAATCTTATGAAAAAATGTATAGCCATTTATTATTTTACACAAATTTTACAATACAATATGATCCAGCTTCGGAAATTTTTTAGATGTAAATATCCATTAAAAAAATCATATAGGCATGTCTTACAATTGATTCAGATATTTTGGATACCTGAGAGATAATATGATCAGAGCAAATAATTAAGGTGATTGATACATTTGCATCTACGTACATTCGATATGGAAGCAATCTGCGCGATAATTCGGCCCGTGCAATCGCTGGGAATGGAATTAATTGACGTACATAAATCGGGCCCCGCAAAATTACATTAAAGCCGTCTTAATGAAATAAACGAAGCCAGCCGGATCAGAGTGGCGACGGCGCACCACAGCTCGGCATCTTGATTTGTGGCTCGTTAATTGAGAGAAAATTGATCCTTTTATGTCGCTCTCTAACTCGGATCTCTTTCACGATCGGTAGCGGAAGTCTATAGTAGTTCGTGGCCTCCGTTCCTTTCTGCGAACGAAATTAAAAAGACCGATCGCGCTCAAAGTCACGCACGTGTATCGTACAATTTTGTAAGTGATTATCTCGTTTTTTAATTATTTTAATTTTTTTGTGTAAATTTTTAATTCGTAATTTAATTTTTAAAAAAAGCGACGATACAAATGAATGTCCGCGAAAAGTTCCAGCTCCGAACTGATCGAATGGGAAAAAAGTATGAACAAACTAGAACACCGTGTATACTTTTCGAAGACCAATTGCGCATGTTACTTAATTTTCATTTTCGAATATGCTCTTTCGCGGCTCGCGATCGATTCTAAAGCGCCGATACGCACGCGGGAGCAATTTTTCTATTCTTGTGTCGGACTCCAATTCCGAGCGTTAAACTATAATTTCCGTTTCTAGTGCATTATCACCCTGATACTCCTCATCATAGAGGATGTCTACGTACTAATAAATTATGTCAGCTTCGTTGAGGCTCTATTTACCACACTCTCCGTGTCTGGTCTCCTGTGGCTGCGTTACAAAAGGCCTGATCTCCATCGTCCCATAAAGGTGTGTATGTGTGTAATTTTATTACGATTTTTTGCAAAATCTTAAAAAAAAAGAGTCCTATTTTTCTACTTGATTCAAAAGTCTAATTTCGTCGTGTTTTGTCCTCCAGGTTTCCATCGTTTTACCAATCATCTTCTTTGTTATTTGCACATTCCTGGTCATCTTCCCGTGTTACGTCTCGCCGTGGGAAGTGGGCGTAGGCATAATCATAATCCTGTCCGGTATTCCTATTTACTGGACGTTCATAGAATGGGAAAGGAAACCCGCGTGGCTCAAAAACGGATCCTGTAAGTCGCACGCGACCTTTGAAAGCTCGTTAAAAACCTCTCGCAATGTTTACGTAATTAATTATTAGCATTAATATATAATAAATATGCGAATATTTTGCAGATAAATTCAACATGGTATGCGCCAAGCTGTTCATGTGCGTGCAAGAAGATAAGACCGAGTGAGTGTGTGTGCGCAATCGGAGGACTATGACGCGCGAATTCAGGACTGCACTTCGCAAGCGTCGTACTTTTTTCGTAGGTAGATAGGACATATGAGATCGTAATTGACGAGTCAATTAATATATAGTGATAATGTCGAAACATTATCAATTATAAATTGTAAGTATTAACGATGTGTGCGCGAGGAACATAGCAATAAACGTCATCGATGCATTTTTACACCGCGGAAATAATTTTTATACAATTACAATACAATATATTCGTGATTATTTATTATTTACGTGACCGCTTCGTGCGTATCATCGCTATAATGAAATTTAGCGCGTAAATTCGATCATTGACACTGCCTCCGGGTTTTCAAAAATTTCGAAGATATTTAGGAGAAATATTTTTAATACGTAATCCGTATACACGTCACATTTTCGTTGACTACGTTGGATTACAGAAGCATAAAAATATTTATGAAGATATATTTATAATAGCATAATAGCATGGGAATACTATTGAATTACCGAGGATCGAAACCGGTATAATTTTAGTGAGCCTAATGAGTTAAGGATTACATTCATTACCGTGCATATTTATTCACGAAAAATTATGGAATACAAATTTATGCTCAGCTAAATTATACCGGTTTTGATGCCCAAAATTGTTTTGTCATTGTGTCATATGACAAAATAAGATCAATTTTGTACATTATGTAGAAAGTAAATATCATACAATACGAATTAAGAATATACATAGAGAATATTTAATTTATATATTGCTCATATACAATTTTAATGACTAATTAAAAAATTTAACTTTTTAACTTTTAACTTTGTTGTCACATCGAACATTTTTAGATATCATTTTCGTTATACAGATGTTTATGTGCTTTTCGAAAATATAAATCTCTTCTCTAATGGCAAAATTCTAAAAATTGTTTTCTAAGAGAAATATTTTTTTCGAAACAATATCAAACAGAAATGTAACATTTAGAAAGAGAGAGAAAAGGCAGACTGTTCACACATAGTTGCCACGAGAAATTGCCTCTCTGAAACAGAGTCCTTCGTGCTTCCGAGTATGAATTGTAAATGTCATCTACACGTATTTCAATCGGACAACTGCTCACGCACCAATAGGGAATCAAAGTAGCTTTGAAAATGACTGATCGTGTGCCTTGTGTAGCGAGCGAGCAGATTATATTTTTTTGTAAAATGAAATTTGTAACAAAAAAATGCGTAATGTTATTCCAATCATCCGTAAATATTGTAAGAGCAGATATATCTTAAGGGGCATACAGACATAATGGTAAATTCTTCAATAGCAACTTTATTCTAACAAATTTGATAAAACGGCGGTGAAAATTGTTTTTAAATATAATAACTGACAATCAGATTTGTAAGCTGTTAACAGGAGAAGATTAGCGCTCTTTCGTGCTGTATCTTAGTATTTCTAAATTTTTTTTATGTATAATAGTTAATGTGCACGCGATAATATATGCCTGCCGCCGAATTTCCGTAAGTGTACGATAAATAGGCCAAAAGTACTGTTAACATGCGTCGGACAAAAACATCAATCACGGTTTCTAACGTAATTATAAATACTTTATTTGTATTTAACTTTTGTCATTTGCTTTTGAAAATCTTGTACAAACATTATTTCTCGGCACCACATTAAAGTCGAATGTCTGGATATAATCTCTTGTTAATTTAGAGCTAACACCTGTAAGTTTATTCGCGACGAACTGTTGGCGTGTGTGATAAACGCGCGAGCTAAACCTTAATTTGAAGTCTTGCGAAGGGACGCATTATGTTGAACTATATTTATTTGGCACATACAGATATATATGTCCAACATAACGGCTATACAAACACTTCTGCGATTAATGGATCAAGAAACGTATTGAAAACCATTTGTAACGCATCAGTATTGTCAGGTTTCGAAAGAAGTAAAACTATCGTACAAGCTCATAATCGAGACTTCCGTTTCTATGGAAGAATTCTCTCAGACATTCTTCCTTGTAAAATATCGCTGAGTATTACAGAGCGGAAGAATAAGCTATTCTATGGGTATTTTATTTTTCGTTGTTTATATGTACATACAGATTTAATCGGTCCTTCAATTAAGTGTACATAAACAATCACATTTAACGGTAACAATTCATTATACATTATTGAGCAACGTCCCGTTTCTTTTCATTCATTTTTCGAAGCTAGCGAAACAGAATACTCTGTTATGAGCTTCCGATATTCAACAAGTAAATCTTGCAAACTTTTGCCGATAAAAAAAAAAAAAAAAACAAACGAAGATAACATTGTAAGATCTCATATTCGTCTTAATAATTAATTTGGCATGACGGTATCTAGAAGTAAGGACTAGAGAAAGTTTTGAGATTTCAAAAAAACTTCCTTCCGACATACCGGATATGGACTTCTTCAAATTCTTTGGCATGAGCATTTGTGTCTTTGGCATAATGAAAAAATTATACTCTTACGACTAATATTTGCTCCTTTATGTGCTGTAATAAGTGTTACGCGAAAAATAGAGGATTTTTTAAAAAATCTCGAAACTCTTTTTCTTTATATCTCTACATACTTGTTACAAAAGACGTCAGAAAATGTGCGGAAATGACAAAAAATTCTCGGCGCGCACTTTGTTCACCTGACAAGCTGGCTTGTGCATTCTTCTGGCTGCAGCAATTACGCGACAACGAAATTACACTTCGACTTCCTGGCGGAACAAAGAAATCACTGTCGATGTTTCCGGAAAAATCGGCAAAAGATCAAGCTGCTTCGTGCGCCTCGTCACGAACAAGAAACACAGACCTCTTCCAACATTCATCGATGCGATATTCCACGATCAACCCTCGGCAAGAGGTGGCGTCACCCAGCCGTACTTTTCGTGTGTTCTCACCAGATTCTTGAATGTCTCCTCAGCCAATTGCTGATTATATTTTTTATTTGGATTCGACTTCCTCGCCACTTGTGCCTGTCGAGATGAAGGCTACACATAAATCTGAGAAATCAGTATGTGAAAATAACAAATTACAACGTAAATAATGTCAATAATTTTATACATATTATCAAGGCGTTCAATTTTAATCTTGTTTCTGCTTATTTTCATCGCAAATAACAAGATAAAATTAAATTTCTTGAAAAAAGGCTAGCTTTTCATATAAAAAAAAAAAAACTAAGCGTTCTTGTTTCTGAATTTAAAACACAATCAGTAAATTGGCAGAAACCCGCGTGCCGATAAATTACAATGCCAATAGAAATTATTTATCATACGATACATGAAATAAATTATTCGGCGGAATTCGAAATAATATTCACCTGTCCTTTCACGACGCTGGCCGCAAACTGCATGATCATCGATTCGACGCTGTACGCGCAGCACCATCCTCTCGGCGTGAGGAGCTCCATGCAAATAGCGCCGCCGTGCATCACGAAGCCCTGCTCGATCCTAGGCGAAATCACCCTCATGAAGGGCGGCGCGAACGGGAACTCCTTCGGGAAGATCACGTGCAGCAATATGTGAGGTATTTTTAGCTCGCGCATATCGGCCGCAAGCTTGCTGTCCGGGTCGATCTTGTGCAGCCGGACGAACCACTCGAACACATTATCATTGACGAGCTCCGCGGTGAAGGCGGAATCGCCGTAGCGTTGCGCTCTTTGGATTCTGTTGAATTCCTTCATCAATCGGCGCAGACCGACGTCTTTGTCGCAGGCGGGCTTGCATACTTCGTTATCCTGTTGTACAAATCAATTTTTAAATATTTAAAGCCCCGAAGATAATCACATATCCTGCTTCGAGCTTATTTATTCAGAGGAAGAGATAAGCAAAGAGGGAGAGATAAGCGAAGAATTTCGTTTCTTTTCACGTCTTTTAAAACGCTTCTTTTGAAATCCTCGTGGATTTATCTTTTAACAAGTTTTCTTCTGTGACTTTTCCATGAACCAGGGACTGTACACACCTTTGTGGACTTCTTCATCTTGAAGAAACAGTTGCGATCGGCATGCGTGGGATCTGCATTCTCCGGTAGTGGGCCGTCCGCTGGAGTGACGACATCCGGACGGTGATGACGATTCAGAAGTCTCCTGGACGGTGAATTAGTCGAGCCGCTGGCTCCCTCTTGATCCGCAATCTTGTCGGAGGATCGGAAAAGCTTCCGAATAGCGGCCATGACCTTCTCCTTCGGTTTCGTGGACATGTTGGAGGTGTCGCGTCGCAGCCGAGTCTCGCTACTCTGCGTTTAAAATGTCTTTGAGAAACATTTGTGATCGTGTATGAAAATCACGATCAAAATGAAAAGGTGGCAAAGAAAGGCAAAAATTGAAAAACTTTGGGAGATATTGTCAGGATAGCGCTGTCTGATAAAATCAACACAAAAAAATGCTTGGAAAACTTTACAAATGAGACGTGGTTTTTTTAGTCGTGCAAAAACACGCAATGTCAGTTTGTCCCGTGAATTTTTGGCTACGAAGAGGCGAGTCGAATTCCATCAATTCAACAACGACCTTGTGTCAGACTCACCCATTCTAACGTCCATCCGGTGTCATTCACGGTCAATAGACTGTCAACGTGTGATTATTGTGTACTGTGCGCGTGCACGCGAGAACGACGGAGATACAGCCGGACATGGCGCAGTCTCCACCCTCATCGAACCGCCAATCGACGCCAGCCACGAGAACGAGCGAGGGGGTTGATGTCGACGTCAACGGCGATGCCGGCGCTACTGTCGAAAGTGGAAACGGCACCACTGCTTCTCTTTTATCGATCCCATTTGTATGCTGATAACACGAACCAAAACGCAAGAACGCTGTCCTTCTGATTCGGGCTGCATAAGATAAACTTTTTCAATATTTGAATATATATATATATTAAATTTTATGAGAATACAGTCAGATATTTATTGTATTAAATTTTAGAATCCGGATACAATGAACGACGACTGTAAATTCTATTTAAAGAAAAATCCAAGTTCGATAATACTTGGTGAAGATTTAACGCGGTAGAAATGGAACATCCTAGAGGGAAATTTAGTGTCGTACGCGCGCAAGACATAAATTTATCGGATGGATTTATTCTGTTTATTTATTTGGCACCTATTTATTCATCCATGGTCTTACAATGTATGTATTCAAGTATCTTCTGCTAAATAAAAATACCAAGACGTGTTTAGCCACATATGCGAGCACCAGTAGACACGAAAGATATTGGATCCATGCCCACTTGAGTTCCTCCCACACGCTCGGCTGATAATAAATAAAGTTTTCCGTGTAGAACAGCTCGCCGATAACGGCGACCGCTTCGTCGCTAGTAAAACCGCTTCGTTGAGTTACCCGCTCGTTTGTGATTCTGGCTGAAACTGTTTGAAACGTACGTGTTATCGTAATCTTTCGCTGTATTTGTACGAAATAATCTCTAAAAAAATACGAAGGTACACGCACACTTCCGGTTAAAGTTGCGCAGCAGCAATTCGGGTAGAGAATAATTGGACAATTCGATGCTATGATTGTACATCTCGTAGAGGCCTTCGCTGCGCAAAAGTCCCTTCTGCCGTAACTCCAAATCCCCGAAGAATCGTATCTCTTGAGCCTCGTGACTTAACACATGATCGAACACGCCGATAGATTCTATCGTCGCTTCGATGAGATGCTGTACAGTACGAAAAAAAATCCATCAATTAAAGAAAACAGCTCGGATTCACGAATGTCTACCTTTAATTGGAAATTGAAAAACAGCAATAGTCTTAATGACTTCACCGGCTTGTCCGTGTGGAAATGTGCTTCAAACCTCAGTGCATCCTTCTGCCCGTCGCCGTTCACATCGTTTTCCCGCACCTAAATAAGTAATAACAGAATACAAATATATAAATAATATATTTAAATAAATAATTGAAAAATAATCGATTTCTGTCATTAATCTAATGAATTAAAATTACATTATGTTGCACGCAATCATATTTTTACTGTTATTAATATTGTTAATTAAAAAGAACCACCTTGATTATTGTGCAGTGATCTCTGATCCTGTTTTCCTTGTACGTCGTAAATGTAGAACACACGATAGGTTCCTTAGAGGGATCCACTTCCGCAAGTAGCAAATACTTATATTCAAAGTGCACTTCCGGCGTTTCCGCATGCATCCGATTTTTCACCCAGATACCTGAAGTTACAGAATGATAAATACATCGTTGTAAGCTGCGTGTTTCTAAATATAAAAAGGTCAGAATTATTTTTACCTCCGGCATTGTAGATTATAAAAAGCGGCGTGAACAAAGATAACACAATAAACAGGAAGACGACGATTGAGGCACAAGAGTGTATTCTACTCTTGTATTTATAAGTGACGGAGCTCGAAAATATCTCGATCGCTGCCATTATGATGCCATGTTCGTCGCCGCGGCAACGACCGCAGGTGCGAAAGCATACAAAGGCAGGTGTGCGATTGTTGACAGTGTGCCAAGAAAACAATATGTGTAGAAATGCATCTCTTTTTAAATGTTTTTTCCTTCCAAAAGAAATGTGGCTTCAAAAAAGCATTTTTTTGTTATAAAAGTCAAATATTTTCTTGCGTTTTTAGTTCCTTGTTTGCATTTTCATACGTTAACGACTGAATCATTCTCGATATCAACTTCAATATTGTTTTTTTACAATAAAAGTAAAATTCTAAACGCATATCCAATGATTTACTAGACTTGCAAAGTCAGATTAAAGTGTTTGGATGTCTTTTTTTCTATCCATTTCGTAAATTAATCATCCACTCATGAAAAAACAACTTTTGGTGTATGAAAACATGCATAAATCTTTTCTAAAACTTTGAGTTACATTTCGGGAGCTGCATGTTCAGCATTCGGGCGTTGATGTCTAACAGTGATTCGCCACCTGACTGCTGTATTTGATCGCGAGTCGTGATCTTTTGAATTCTCTGCTAATTCTGATTTATTTTCGAGAGGTTCTTTGATATATTTTAACGATTTGACGTTCACACCAAAATCTCCGTCGACGCTCTTCGGTTTTGTGAGATCAAAAGAACCTCTTTGCACTCGAAACGGCGACACTATGTATTTTCGATTCCAGCCAGGAATAAAATTATCTTGATTCTTTCCGGAAGATACGTTTTGCAGCTGCTTTAAGACATCTTCTTCTGTTTGCGTTTTCATGTTTCTCCTATTCCAAAATCCAAAGAAAGAATTATTTGACACGCGACAAGCAGACTCACCTCGAGTTGAAAGATTATCCTGAGTGGTCAAGGAAGACGTTGACTTAGAGGAAACGGTGCTTTTTGTACTGGATTTTACTTCGGAAATGTCCTCTGCAAATGACTGTTTGCTCTGTGAAAAATTCAATGGATCTTTGGGTGACCCTTTCAACTTCTTCAGATCTGGATTTAAGCCACTGAATCTATTTACAGCCAAACATAAATAATGGAAGCTTTAAACCTTTTTCAGTAAAAGAGAATCCATGTTTCAGTTTAAATATTGAACATAAATAAAATATGACAAGAATATAAATAATTATGTCTGTAAGTAATAGTGCTTTAACAAAAAAATACAAATAAGTGAACAAAAATAGTGATTATAGAAGAATCTTAAAAATTATTAGTCATAGTCTGTGACAGCACTCGCAAACTTATTTTACAACTGAATATACTTGCCTTTTTCTAACCAAGTTTTCATTTTTACTTCTGTCCAGGGTTTTTTTCACTGCAGGATCATATGCAGTTCTACCCATTGCAGTTTTCATCGATGTGAGGCCCTTATCTCGCACAACTGCATTTACAGCAGAATTATTCCCGTCCAATATGGACAAACACGTCGATTGCGAAATGTCATTTGATATCACCGACACATCGCGTTTACGACGATCCGAAAAATCGGCCGGGATCGCAAATAATGCAAGTGGCACACGTTTGATGACGAGCTTCTCAACGACATAATCGTACTCTTCAGGATCACACTCGATGATTTCCTTCTCATGCAATCGTTCGCGCTTGAAGCAGCAGAATAGCATTTTTAAACGCTTCGATATTCCATTGGAGTTCACATCACGATCTTCTTGTTCGTCAATAGTAAAATCTACAGAAATGTCCTCAGACATTTTCAAATCCTTCGAAGAATTGCGTGTAAATCACAGCATTTATAAACCGTCAATTTCGTCTGAGAAACAGAAAGCAAACTTTTCGTTCAAGTAGCGTTTTTATGATCAACGCTTGATTTCTTGTCAAAAAATTAATGATAAGAAATTGTTCTTCACCTGCATTTTATTTATTGACTCCATTCTGATCTATTACGATTTATACACAGTGACGCCAGATTTGAGACGCAAGCAGCATGAGGGAGGGAATACCGTACACATGCGCAAGCCACATGCATGTAATACTTCTTAAAAAAGACGTCTTAAAACATTCTAAAAAGACGTCGTTTTTTAATTTCTTTAAACGATTGACATTCTGAATTTTGCAATAAAAAACTTTCTAAAAATGTTAAAAGAAAGCAAATGTTAAAAGAAAGAAACGTTTTAATCATTTAAGTGTTTTACGAGCATCGTAACACTGTCAAAAGTAGCAAAAATAAACATGTAGAAAGGTTATGATTTATCCTCCGTTTACTCGAGCGAGCTCCTATATCATCATGTGCTCCTAATATCAATCGCTAAAAATTCTAGCTAAAATAAAGCGTTCGGCCCGTTCCAATGGATAAACATAATCTTTTTACATGCTTATTTTCGCTACTTTTGACAGTGTTACGATGCGTAAAACACTTAAATGAATAAAACGTTTCTTTTAACATTTTTAGAAAGTTTTTTATTGCAAAATTCAGAATGTTAATTGTTAAAAAAATTCAAAAATTACGTCTTTTTAGGATGTTTTTAGGACGTCTTAAAGACATCTTTTTTAAGAGGTGTTACATGCATGTGGCTTGCGCATGTGTACGGTATTCTCTCCTTCATGCTGCTTGCCTCTCAAATCTGGCGTTTATACATTAAACAAGAATCTATTAATTTATCTTAAATAGTGTTTTTTTTACTGTATTAAAAATGGCAATTTAAAATGGCGACTTTACTTAACGCATGCATGTACATAACGCATCATATAAATGCATCATGTCCAATAAAATTCTCAGAATAAATTTAGGAAAAATTTTACAGAGAGCGTTTGCTTGACATTCACATTTATGCATACTTACGAACACTTTTTCGTCGAGTTGTCCAAACTAGATTATGTATTATCCTTGGAAGCCGACGTGAGGTCATCACGGCTCGGACAATAGGTGCATTCAGAACCTACACTTTGGGTGTATATCAAAATATCACCAGCATGAAAACCTTATATATGAAAAAATTGAAAAATTCGCATCTTTTAAGTCTTTATTATGAAATGTATAAAAATATATTCATCATATTAACATTAACTGTAATTATTTACATTTTACATTGTACTTTTTGCATTTTAAAATCAAATCGAATTATCATACATATCACAGTACAATATCACAATACATTCGATGAAATATTAGTAAGTTATATAATATTAATTTAAGAGTAGGTCAACTGTGTTCCAATTCCTGTTTTCGTTGCTCGAGCTTCTTACATATCATGTTTATTTTACTTTAAAAGCAAAGATATTATAATATCTTTGAACACAGTTGACCTACTCTTAAATTAATATTATATAACTTACTAATATTTTATCGAATGTATTGTGATATTCTACTGTGATATTGTACTGTGATATGTAGTTTAGATACACCACTGCCCCACCAAGTTTGTCGCCTCTTTTTTGTCTACTTTTAAATGTTTTCAGATTGTCGGCAGTATTTCCATGGACTATCTTGGTTTGCAACAATTGAATACGTTCCTCCAAATTTTGGTTTATACGATCCTTTTCTTGGATTCTGAACTCCATTTCTTGAAAGTCAGCAAGAGCCAATTCTTTCAGTTTCTAAAAAAAAAAACAATAGATTTATTATATAAGAATTTATTACTGATTACAAAAATTCAGCAAATTTTTATCTTTTCAACATTTTAATAATGGAAAAAAACAAAGATAATATAAACATTTACATAACAATATAATTAACATAACACTTGCCTTTTTAACTCTACTTGTAATTTATCTATTTGTTTTGTGTAACGTTTCAAAAGTACGCCTTCGGACATGATTTCATTCAGTTGAGGCTTATTTTTCACAATTTTAGCTCTTGATGCGAATCTATTCATAAAACAATAAAACAATATAATATATATATACAAATAATTAAAAAAGTAAAATTACTAACGACAATGTGCACTGAGTTTCATCTAGCGCAGCCGGTGTTATTGTACATATTAATATGTACAATAACACAATATTGTGCATATTAATATGTACAATAACACAATATTATACATATTATTATGTACAATAACACCGGCTGCGCTAGATGAAACTCAATGCACATTGTCGTTAGTAATTTTACTTTTTTAATAATTTGTATATATAATATTATATTGTTTTATTGTTTATGAATAGATTCGCATAAAGAGCCAAAAATGTGAAAAATAACCCTCACCTGAATGAAATCATGTCCGATGATGTACCTTTGAAACGTTATACAAAACAAATAAATAAGTTACAAGCAGAGTTAAAGGCAAGTGTTATGTTAATTATATTATGTAAATGTTTTTATTTTCTTTGTTTTTTTAAATTATTGAAATGTTAAAGAGATAAAAAAGCTGAATTTTTGTAAGTAATAAATTCTTATATAATAAATCTATTTTTTTTTAGAAACTGAAAGAATTGGCTCTTGCTGACTTTCAAGAAATGGAGTTCAGAATCCAAGAAAAGGATCGTATAAACCAATATTTGGAGGCACGTATTTAATTGTTGCAAACCAAGATAGTCCATGGAGATACTGCTAACAATCCGAAAACATTTAAGAGTAGAGAAAAAAGTGACAGACTTGGTGCGGCAATATCTAAACTACATATCACAGTACAATATCACAGTAGAATATCACAATACATTCGATAAAATATTAGTAAGTTATATAATATTAATTTAAGATTAGGTCAACTGTGTTCCAATTCCTGTATTCGTTGCTCGAGCTCCTTTATGGTCTTCGATCGAGAACGACAAATATTTTTCATAATTTCCTTTTCCTTTTCCAGTTTCGCTATTTTCACTTCATCCTGTGTAAAACCATATTATTACATAAAATATGTACTGTAAGTTGCGACAAAAACATAAAAAAATATTAGTTATTTCAGTTCTAAATTATTAATATACACTAACATCGATTATGCCACTGTTCGAACCGCAAAATCGTACTAAGTTAGTCGATATTGTTTGGCACGCTTGAGTTCTTCTATTTACAAACCTCTGTTTACACACATCACATTCTCTCATGCTTGTAGACAGCATTAATCGTTTAATTTCAGCCTTTAGTTTGCTATTCTGTAAAAAAAAGAAAATTATAGTCAAATATAATCCCCAAAACGATTACACTAATTAAAATATATTAAAGTACCTTATTTTTGTATGTAGATAGGAGTTCCTGCAATTCTCTACATTTCATTTGATAAGGGAAACTTTCGCTCTGTATTTGCAGCTCTAACGTCGCAATCTTTCCATTCTTCCATACAATCTCCAGCTGCAATTCCCGTATCTTATTTTGTAATGTCGTACAATTACATACATCGTGAGACTTTTCGGCTCTGTCAGACGATACGTTCCTCTCCACACTCTGCAATTGAAGATCTTGATTTTTGTTCTCAAGATCTTGAATCTTCTTTTGTAGCTCTTTAATTTCATTACGACACGTGTAATACTTATCTTCAAGCTTTGTATTCTCAACATCGTATTTGCGAATAACGTTCGTTAACTCTTCTAATTCTTCATCAAACTTCTGTATTTTTCTCTGTCAATTTCATGATCTTGTTAGTATAATGTTCGACTTCTTGATTCTTTTGATTCAATTGAACCTTTGTCGCTTCTAATTCCAAAGCAACTTTGTTTAACTCTTGTAGTGAGATAACACAATTTTCACATTTTGTAGAAGCATCATTATATTTGAATTTGTACGATGATAATGTCTCCTTCAATTCCTGATTGTCCTTGCACATTGTTTCATACTGACTATTTAAAGTAACCAACTGCTTCATCAAGTCAGTGTTGTTAGCTTGCAACTCTGTTATTCGATTGCCAGCGCCGTCTAAATGATTTCGCAACGATTTATTCAAGTCCTTCAATTCGTCTATTTGCTCTTCAGCTTGGACTTTACTAATACTACTTCTGACCTTTTTCTCCAACGTGGCACTCTTACGTTGCAATGTCAGGTAATCATCCTTCAAAGCATTCATTTCTTCTGTCAAGGCACTATTCTTATTATGCAATTCAGTTATTTGATTGTTCAGCTCAACACCTTTCATTTCCTCGGCGTTTAATTTATCCTTAATCGAATTGCTCAACTCCTTCAAGCAAACACACTCAGTACAGGCACTTGATTTTAAATCGCTGAGCTTTCTATTGAGACGCGTGAGATTATTAATTTCCTCTTGCAGTTTCAAGATTTTTGCTTCGGCAGTGTCCTCCTTTATAGTTTCGTCCATTCTATCGTTCATTGTCGAGATATTGAGTAACATTGACGAGTTCAAGTCGTTACTGCAAGAGTTAATTTTTCGCGTATTATCTAGATCTTCTAAAGTCTCCACTAACTGATCAGACATTTTCGAGTTTTCTTCGTTTAAAACTTTCATGTTGGCTTTCAGCTCCATCAGTTCGGTTTTTAACAAAGTATTCTCTGCTTTCAGTTGTTCTACATCGTTGTCATTAATGTTCGCATTTTTCAGTGATAATTCTAGTTTATCTTTTAAAATATTACATTCTTGTCTTAATTCATCATTCTCTTCGATTTGGCACATTAAATCAATGGAAAGTTCATTGTTTTCGGTTGTCAAATGTTCGCATTTCTCTACAATGTCAGTTAATTTATCCTTGTACATACAATCGTGCTCATACAGAAGTGACTTGCTTTCCTTTAATGTTTCGAGTTCTTTCATTGCGTCTGCGATATTAGACAATAATTCTGCATTTTTTACTGTCAACGTATTGATCCGTTCTTCGTACTTCAAATTAATCTGTTCTTCGCTCAAGTTCTGTTCAGATGTCTTCGAACGAAGAGTTTCAATCTGCTCGTTAAGAAGCGCCAAGTTATTCTCAAGATTGTAGTTTTCATCGGTTATCTTCGAATTTCGCGCGTAAAGTTTATCAATTGTTTGTTGAAAACAAGCAGCTGATTTTTTGGCACATTCCTTCTCCTCTGTTAATTTATTCGCTAATTCACTATTTTCAGTTGTTAATAAATATATAGTGTCTTGCAATTTTTCTATATCCGCTTTCAAACTTTGCACATCGTGTTTTATTTCGTCTATTTCCTGATTTTTCAAAAGAAGATCTGCAGATAACTTTGCACCATCGTCTTCTAAAGATATTCTCGTAATCGATAAATCCTCAATCATTTTCGACGAATCGCCATTATTTAACAACATATCTTCGCAATCGTGATCCAACGTCATCGAGTTCGTAGATACTGGTTCTTTTGAATGTGTGTCTTCCATCTGACTCATTAGCAATGATTTAAATTTCATAAATTCTTGTTCGTATTCTTCTCTTTCAGACATCAGTATTGTAATTTGTGCTTCTAGTTCCTGAATTTTTTGTAATTGTTCATCTTTTGCCGAAGTACACTGCTCAGTTTTGATCAGCTTTTCTTGCAATTCGTAAATCGTGCATTCAGATTCTTTCGATTTTGATGTAAGAGACTCAATCTCCCTTTCCAGATTATGAATTGTCTGTAGTTGTAATTCTTGTTCATTTATTTTATCCTTCAATAAATTATTATGCAATTCGGTTTCCCTAGATTTTTCTTGCAGCTCACGGAATGCATTTTCTAACTTACTTCTTTCAATCGTGAAATTCTCGATGCATTTCTTTTGCTCGTCGATAGTCTTTAATAATTCCACCTGTTGTACATTGAATTGCTCCTTGATCGAGTTATTACACAATTCCGCTTCTTTTAACTTTTCTTGCAATTCAAAAATAGTAATGTTTTGGGTTTCTAATTCCGTTTTTATTTGTTGCACATTTTCATTTTTCGACGAAAGCTGTATAAACGATTCCTCTGTGTCGCTAGTGTGACTCTTCTGCATTGCCAATTTATTTTCTAATAAAATACTGCGTTGTTCTACTTCATTAAGTTTTCTTCGCAATTCAGATGTGATATGTTCACTCTCGTTCTTTTCAGCTGTAAGAAAAGCTACTTGTTTTTGTAGTTCTGGAATGTTCTGCACTTCCATTTCCTGCGCCGTCAATTGCGCAATCTTTTTTTCTAAATCTGGTATCCTTTGTAATTCTGTTACTTGCGCGTTTAATTGATCTTCTGCTAAAGTATAACGTACTTCAGCTGCAGTTAACTCTTTACGAAGCTTGGCTGCTATATGTTCGAATGCATCCTTATCAGATGTTATATTTTCTAACTGTTTTTCTAGTGTTGAAAGCCTGGTAAGTTTTTCTTTCGTTTCGCAATTATAGTCTTCAACAAACAGTTGCTTCTCCAATGTTGTGAACTCTTCGAGTTGCGAATATTCTTTTGACAAATGGTCAATCCTGTCCCGTAAACTTTGTTTTGGGGTGCCAGGAGATTGCGGACTATTCATAGATAACAAAAAATCATTAAATTAATCGTAACATAAATAATTCAATCATATAATTTTTTTCTGTTACTTACCCCGTAGTTTGAGTAGAAATATCAATTTTCTCCGATATACAACTGTCATTGCTTGTGGGTGATTTGTGCATAATTACATCATCTTTAAATTTGACACGATTCTGCCTACGATATGTAATAAAATCATCGTCACTATCATTTTCTAATGCCTCTTCATTTTTCATGAGTTCCTCTTCAAAATCGGTTAATGGGTAAACAATTTGGAATGCTACAAGAAATATATAAATGTAATTATATATATAATTTTAACATTGCAAAATTTACGATTACCCTCTCTCAAGATAATAATAGCATCAACTAGTAATATCTTGCCTAGTAAAATCTCAACTTTAGCCGTTTGGATTCTGAACTTCGGAATTGGCATTAAATTGTAAGTCCCAGATACTCGAGTATCTGCGAGAGATCGCCAACACTCGGAAATTTGAGTTTAACATACGAAGAAGATTCAATTTACACTATGTAAAAATGAACTAAACTTACATGTATCCATCGTATCAACAGATTTTCTATCATGCAATTTGCAAGGTGACATTTCTTGGATTGGTGCTAAATTCGTCCATGGAACAAATGTATCAAGTTTAGATACACCACTGCCGCACCAAGTTTGTCGTCTTTTTACTCTACTCTTAAATGTTTCCGGATTGTTGCGAGTATCTCCATGGACTATCTTGGTTTGCAACAATTCGATACGTTCCTCCAAATTTTGGTTAAGACGATCCTTTTCTTGTATTCGGGACTCCATTTCTTGAAAGTCTGGAGCCAATTGTTTCAGTTTCTAAAAAAAATAGATTTATTATATAAGAATTTATTTATTACAAAAATTCAGCAAATTTTTATCTTTTTAACATTTCAATAATTGAAAAAAAAAAAACAAAGAAATCAAAAACATTTACATAACAATATAATTAACATAACACTTGCCTTTAACTCTGTTTGTAATTTATCTATTTGTTTTGTGTAACGTTTCAAAAGTACACTATCGGACATGACTTCATTCAGTTGAGGCTTATTTTTCACATTTTTTGCTCTTGATGCAAATCTATTCATAAAACAATAAAACAATATAATATAATATATATATACAAATTATTAAAAAAGTAAAATTACTAACGACAATGTGCACTGAGTTTCATCTAGTGCAGCCGGTGTTATTGTACATATTATTGCTGTCATTGCGTTGCCTCCTAAAGAAGTTTGAAGCAATCGTGTCAATTTACTGTCTCGAAAATTTACATATTTCTGAGATTCTTGTGGCTCACTCAATTGTTTAATTACTAATGCTAATGTGGAAAGAGATAAGTTTATATGACATGCTTCCTCAAAACGGTTTCCAGTGGCACCCGTTTGTCGTGCTTTTTCTGAACCAGCAAGATCTACCATGTTTAATTGTGATACTTGTATTGCATCATCTGAATCAGCACCAGCTTCTTGACTCTCAATTGTCTATAACACATAATTTTGTTGCAACTTTTTAAGTAGACATATATCATGTAAAATATATTATATGTAAAATTAAAAAAAGTTTATACTTACAATTCTAAATATTGTATGACTTCTACTGCTTTTTTGATTCATATTTGTATCACCTATTTTTCTATTTTTATCACCCTTATTCATGATTGATAAAACATTTTGTGGACAATTCGTAACTTCTTCTTTACAAGGCACAAATACTTGACCATTTGTATCTTCATGTATTTTCAAATCATTTCCATCTGTAGTCAAAAGATCATATACTTTTTCCTTATAAATTTCTAAATAAGATACCCTAGAAAATTAATACATTATTAACTTTTACAATAGTATGATTTATATAGATAGGAATTTTGATAAAAATAGATAAGAAAACATCAGAAATTATTTTACAGTAATAATTATAATAAATATACAAACCTCAATAAAAATTCTCGTCCTGAAGTATTGGCTATGGCTTCAAATATGTGTTCAACAGCCAAAGGTATTATGCCTATCTCTTCTGAAGTACCCATCATAGTATATGTTTTACCGGAACTTGTCTGTCCATAAGCAAATACTGTACCATTAAATCCATTTACAGTAGCATCAACAATAGGTCTTACAACGCTATCAAATACATCTTTATTACTGGCATCCATATCAAAAATATGATCTGTAAATGTAATCTTATATTCAGAATAACATCAGGTGCTGCCTATGTGAATTATAACCTCAATAAAATACAAATAAGTTATTAAATGATTAATATCTTTGCTTTTAAAGTAAAATAAACACATATTCAAACACTGAAAAATAAACACTGATAATAAAAGGTAAAACATTGAAAAAAAATGACCTCTTCAAGAATACTAGCACATATGTTATGGCTCATCTCTGAAGAGATTGAAAACCAAAAAAATATATGTTCTTAATCAGATACTTAGAAATAAATATTTTATATCGAAATTTGCATTTGTGTCATACCGAATGTGAATCTACCGTCGCCTCGCTTTTTTATTTCTGCGTCGTTGACCATAATACTGTTTTCTTGAGTTATCCATTGTATTGGCAAATTCTCATCCTTCTCCCGCTTAATCAGCGGTCTAATTTTTATTGCAACTTTAATACTATCTGACATCATGAATAATTTCTTTGTTTCTTACATAAATTACTTAGAAAAGTAAATTTTATCACTACCCTATTCAAACGCATGCTACTAAAGATGGCCACTCACTAGCAGTTTTCGAATAGACCGTAGTTCGCATTGCGAACTTCGCAGGCCAGGCACACAATCGCGTATACGTGTCGCGCAAAATGTTTTGCGTTTCTTACGTAGTACAGTGTAGCCAGATTTGGCCGAACTTTTCGCGCATGCGCGAAAAACCGGGCCAATCTGGCTACACTGGCTGCATAGTTTAATAGCGTTTGAAATGTGTTTCTGTAGCTCAGCAGTCGAGAATCTGTAGGCATTTGATTTCTTGCTTTTATTTAGTGTGATCTTTAAGTTGTAGGTTTTTATCGAGAAATTATAATTAAAAGTAAGTATAAATAATTTATTAGCATATTTATAGAAATAGATACGTTGCATCCAAGTAATAAGACAAAATTTACAAGTCTTATTTATAATTTAACAAGTTTATATACTTATAAAAGTAACATTTTGTATTTATACGATATAGCTGTAAGTATAGAACAATTAAAAAATCATGTATCCATTCTGCAGTATATATATATCTTTTGATATATACTTTATTGAAAAGAAATGTGTTTTATTAAATTATAATATAATATCTTGTTATAGGTAAGATCTTGAAGTTTGAGCATATCAATAAATTTGTCACTATCAAGTTGTATAGTTGTATAGTTTCAATATTATTTTATTATAATTTGATTACATTAAATGCATGTTGCATAATGTTCTTACAGATGTGTGATGATACTGTTTCTGTTGCTTTACGTATCCATTAGTGGAAAGTGAAATTGACAAAGAATGTTAGATGTGTTTAAATGTAATATCTGGAGAGCCACAAGTTTGCATATGCAATACTGACAAGGCATTTACATACAATTATGTTTTTTCTCCCAATAGGAAGAAAGATTTTTATAATATAGCGATTAAACGATTGTTAGACAATACGCGCTTCAAGGTAAATATTTTGAATTTTATGATATTTAAAATATACTGTATTTTTATTTACATTAAAAATACATTTTTTATCAGGTTATAATGTCACAATATTGGCATATGGTCAGACGAGAAGTAAGAAGACTTATTCTACGGGTACCAATTATATGGAAATAGGAGAACAGGGTATTATACCAAGACTCATAAATGATATATTTGACATAATTAAATCTAAGGAAGACTGGAGCTTCAAAGTTGCAGTCTTATTTATGGAGTTGTATCAAGAACAGCTGTATGCCTTTTATCTGACAAACAAAGAAACCAGTTTATCGTAGATATTAGAGAAGATGGAAAAAATATAAAAATTGTCGGTGTAACTGAGAAAGAAGTTACAAATGCCCAAGATACATTAGAATGTTTGACGCAAGGTTCCATGGGTCGAGCAACTGGTGCAACTGCAATGAATGCACATAGCAGTCGCAGTCATGCAATATTCACAATTTGTATACGGCAGCAAAAAACAGATGATCCGTGAGTAATTCAATTTGTATTTTCCGTTGTTTTACTATTTTATCCTGTATTGCCAAATCTGAGAATAAAAATACAATTTATTTTTTTTTTTTATATAGAAATACAGCAACAGTGGCAAAGTTCCATTTAGTTGATTTAGCAGGGTCGGAACGTGGCAAGAAGATGCTAAATCAAAAACACTGACAATATTCTATATTTCAATTTTAACACACAAGAGTACTGAAACACTTACTCGGCTACAGTTTTTTCTAAGAGTTGTATGTTGGCCGAATTTTTCTCCATTAATCTCCTGTTTATTTTTACGCTCATGGAGTCGATGCAAACGTTATCTATAATTTATAAACACATTTTGTACTCATATTACACATTTTTTGTACTCATATTACGAGCTACCGAGTTCCAATAAAAAGGCAATTTTAGTTTTTGTACCAATATTATGGGCGCACCACAGTGTTTTCGGACGAGACAAAAGATGAAGTGACATAAGATTAGGAAAAATACGAGTAAAAATCTTTCTTTAATTATACATGAAAATTATATATCAATGAATGTAGTTGTACATTTATTTATTAATATCGCATTCAGTTTTAAATATTGTACATAATAATGAAAATAAAATAAAATAAAATTTTTTAACTATGTAAGTTATAGCTACGGTCGACCGATAGGAGGCGCAAATATGCACTAGGCGATACACAGGGTCGCAAGATATCGACTCTCGATAGATCGAGAGTTAACGGATCGATCTATGCGCGCGCCACCGGATCCGCCGAAGGATCGAGAACGATCCGGAATCTTCCCCAGGAGCAGGACTATCCGAAGAGAAATCCGGTAAAGCACTCTGTAAAGAACCGGCGATAGAGTCAGTCGCGTTTAGAGTCGTCGATAATTGTCGTGAGAATAGATCTAGTCGAGTCGAGCGATATGCAGTGTAAAATGTATTAAGGCAAAGTAATAAAGGCCATTCTTCTTTCTGGTAAAAGTGATTTATTCATACACCGCGTTTACATTATTATTGCTGTCGGTAGCCAATCGGAGCACGTGGTTTAAATTAATAAGGCTAACGGACATTTTGAACGAGAGAACTCAGTGCTCCGACCGTTACAAATTATTGCTAAAAAGACTAGCTGGATTCTTGTCCAGCCGGGTCGAGCCGCTTGTCGATTAAAACTAGTCGGAGAACTTTCAGTATTAAATTCAGAAGTGGGATTACGGGCTCAAAAAACCCGCGTCGTGTCGGATAAGTGAAGTCGGTAAAGAAAAGTTGTCGTGTCGTGTCGAAACGGAGAACGGGCTCCAAAAACCCGCGTCGTGTCGAGAAAGAAACATTGTCGTGTCGTGTCGAGAAGAAAAACGGGCTCAAGAACCCGCGTCGTGCCGAAAAAAATCAAAGACTTAGTCGAGTGAGAGTAAAAGAAGAGAATGCCGAGGACAAGATCGCAAATGGAGCAAGCCGATTTGGAGAAGGCCTCATTGGAGCAACTCCAAAATTATGCGAAGCATAACCAGCTTCCGCTGTCGGAGGACCGCGAGGTCCTCATAAAAACAATTTTGGCCCATTGGGAGAAGGCTAAGAGCACGGATGCACCGGCGGAGCCACACGGTGCGTTCGGAGAAGGACCGGTGCCGTCGGCCGCCACGCGGTCAACAGTTGCGGAGCCGTTGACCGCTGGGGTGTTCCGACAAGTTTTCGCCGAGATGACGTCGATGCTGCAGCAGCAGCAACAGCAATTTATGGTACAAATTGTTCAACAATTGCAGGCAGCGAGGCCCGCTGCGCCTGCGAGCCGAGCCGAGGAGCCAGTGGCTCCGA